AAAGGGAATATATATTTTTTTCCATTGCTGCAGGAAGCTGCTGTTGTGCTTAAGCACTTTCAAATAGTTTCCTGCAACCACAGAAGTGTTGTGCAATGACAGCAAAGGGTGGGTGTGCCTTTGCCCTTCCTGCTGCAAGACAGTTGATCTTAACTTCCACATGAATTGAAAGGAGTGGATGTTGTCAGTTTTCAAAGAGAATTAATTGTTGTGGCTTATTACATAAAGTGAACATACCGTGTCTCTTTTTGTGATTACTTTCCCTTTTTCGTTTCTATTTTCTCCATGTAATGCCATCAGCAGTTTTTTTTTAAGTTGTGCTGTATTTACAGAAAAGAAAAACGTGTGCAAAAAAGCCTGGTGATAATGTTTGAAGTTAGGTATCTGGCTTCTATACCACTTTCTTGCTAGAACTGAGAAGCAGTCTCAGTACCAAAAATGTGGTTTAATTTTTTTAAAAATTTTGTATTTAAAAAAGCCTAAATTTAAAAAGTTCTTGGCAAAGATGACAGGAATTTGGGCAAATAAGACAGGAGGGGATCACTTCATCTGTATCTAAAAGAAGATTTGATTTCTTCAATAATCATGCCTTATGTATTGTTCACAGCCATTAACATTTTTTTAATATTTTACTTTTAATGCAGATACATTATGGTCCACCTCTGCATGTGTGCCTGCTTTGTCTGACTTTCTGTGGATTCCTGCAGCAAGTGGATGTCTTGTGACATGCTTATTTAAAGGGCTTCCTCACTCCCATGTTTAGTACAGAGATTTCCCAAGTGATAAAAAGGTAATTAACTGTTGAGGATTTATCTGTAGTGAGAGGATGCTCTCATTTTTAAACCTTTGAAATTATACATTTGAAGTGGTATGGCTAAAGACTCTGGCTCAGGAGGCTTCCCTTCAAGAGCCACCTGTGGCCTCAAATGCTCCCGCCACCCCCTCCCCAAAAAGAAACCCTGTAAGTTGAAAGCCAATCTTTTGAAGGCTGTGAATGATGTATATTATTAAATTGTGAGAATTTTGTATGTCCTCCATGTTTTAGTGAAACGTCTTCTGTGAGTCATGATTTTCGATTTCATTAACCATTTTCTTGATGGTTGACTTAAAATTACTGAATTACTGCAGCACAGTGTGGCTGGTGAAAATAATTTTCGGGTGCATTGCTGATACAAACATCAACAAAGAATTGTATGTAGACATGTTCTGTTGTAGATGCTGGTGATTGTGGTTAGAGCAATGTATAGAATGATTAATCTTATCCTTTGGAAGCCATGGCTTAAAATATTATCTATATTAGGAATATAAAATAATTCTATTGAATCAAATTCTCTGTTCATCAGTACCAGAATCACATCTCTTACAGCTAGTAGTTGTTATCTCCAAAACATTATCCTTACCTCAGACTTTGTTACCTATTCCTATTTATTACTTGGATAATTGGTTCAGCCAATTTTTTTATTGAGCCTTCGTTATGTCAGACATCCACTCTAAAATGTTTTTGGACTTGGTATAGGGGCTTTTGTTGTTCAAACAAATACCTTTTTGGTACCGAGTAACTTATCTACAAAAGTTGCTTTCTGAATATGTTAAATCCTTTCATAAAACAGTGAGAATTATTTACATTCTTTACAAAAACACAGAAATTATTTTGAATTACAACATGAACAAATACATATACCCCAGAAAATTATAGTCAGTGAGTTCTGCGAACAGATGGGCTATTGTCTCCCAGTATATTTAGTCTCAAAATGCTTAGCTCCATCAGAAGAATAGGTCATATTTTAAATATACTAGATCCACAGCAGTTAATTTTTTTGTCATGTTTAGTGTTTCTGTTGTGCTAAGATAGTGGTCTCTGAATGGATCAAAGCAGGGAAAACTAAGTGTGTCCAATTTGAGACTTGTCTGGTGAGAAAATCAAATGAAAGGAGTTTTGTTTTGTTTTCACCAGTCAGTGGTGACCTTGTGTTTCAGTTACTTTGCACGTGAGAATCTGCCCATAAAACTGCTTTACTTACATGTAAACATGTAAGAGGCCAAGAAAACATGTTTTCTATTTTCAGTGAAGAAGATAATGTAGGACTATTTCTTGGTTTCACCTGCTTTGTCTGCACTTAAACATAAAAGACAAACTTGTAAGTTAATTATTTTGAAGTGATGTCACTTTTTTACAAATAGTGTCTCTTGAGTTTTTTTTCACATTGTCACATGGACTCTTTGAAATTAGCGCAACAAAGTATTTACTTAGCATTTTTTACTGCATTTTATTGCTATTTCACATTCTTAGGTGTGATTAGGCAAGGTTCCCTTCTTGGTTTATCGATTTTTTTATTACGGAAACAAAGAGGGAATGATGGGAGTTTTTTGAAAGGACAAATATGTTGTAAATGCACAGACTTTATAAAGGAGAGGCAGGCACAAGCACATTTGTTTAGTACACTTCTGAAACTGGACAAGTTTTCAGTTAGGTTGGCAAATTACATTTCCATTCAGTTTTGGATAGACATAAAGCTGAGTGACCAATGAAAAATCTATCAGTTCAGGTTAAGGTTTGAATAAAAAGAGGGTTAATTTTGGAGTATTTTGGGAAAACTACTGTAGTAATTAAAGATGTAGTAATTAAAGATGGCCCTCTGTGGTATTAAAGCTGTGAATGTTTTATATAAAAGCAAGTTGTAGAGCACAAGCATTATGTCTTGCATAATGTTGACAAAGGTAGTGAGAAATCTTTAAAATATAATGTTTATAGTCATGTGGTGTTTTTTTTCTTCTAAAAAATGATTATTCCTTGTTGAGTGAGGAGGAATGCTTTTTTTCCTTAGTTAAACATGGACTTGTTACCTGTGCTACCTTTGGAGCTAAAAGCACATATCTTTTCAGTTAAAGGTGGTTGGCTTTGTAAATGAGGCACAGGAAATCTGTGTATCCCCTACATAAGGGCCTAAGCAATGTAGTGAATGACATTTGTGTCTAGACGTTCTTGTTTAAATATCTATAACACACTGGTTCTTTGTGTTGCTTAGTTTGGGAAGTAAAAGAATAGATTTTTCACTTGGTGATGGTATCTTTTTTCTTTGCTCTTTCCCCCAGAATTAGCATAATGGTAACACAGTCTTATCCTCTTGTTTATATAATTGAATATTTTTGTCATCTCAAAACTCATTAAGTTAATGTTTTCCTTATTTAAGATGTTCAGCATTTTTTTCCTGCTGATATAACTGCTGTGGTTTCCATAGCACACATCATCTTTAGCCCACATTAATTAATACTCTTAGATAATTCTAAGCCCACATTAATAATAGATAATTCTAGTTAGGAACAGAAAATTTTTTTAAAAACTCCAGAATATGTTCCAAGCAGTTCTTTCCTGATAAAGCAACATAATTCAATACAAACAAAAGCTGTTGAAAATAATGCATTAAGAATGTAACACATATGCCTATGCAGAACAATGAACATATTTTTAACTCAGACATTTACATTTTCAAGTACAATAACTTTATTAACCATTCAGTATATTAAGCAGCAACATGTAGACCCTTAGTGAGTTTGGGAATGACACCAAGTTGACTGGTGCAGTTGAAGGGACTGAGGGAAGGGACACCAATCCAGAGGCCCCTTGGCAGACCTGAGAAGTGATTCCATGGGAAACTCATGAAGTTCAACAATGCCAAGTGCACCTGGTCTTGCATCTAGGTTAGTGCAATCTCCAGGATCAGTACAGGCTGGAGGGTGAATGGATTTGAGAGCAGCCCTGCGGGTGAAGTCTTGGGGATCCTGGTAGAGAAGAACTGAGATGTGAGCTGGCAATATGCACTGGCACCCCAGAAAACCAATTTCACCATATTCACAGAAGCATTGCCAGCAGGTCAAGGGGTGTGATTCTCCTCCTCTGGTGTGTTTTTGTGAGACTGCACTTGGAGTCCTGTGTCCAGCTCTGGGGCCCCTAGCACATTTGGAGTGAGTCCAGAGAAGGGCCACAAAAACAATCAGAGGGCTGGATTGCCTCTGCATGTGAGGAAGGACTGAGACAGTTGGAGTTGTTCAGCTCAAAGAGAAGGAGGCGTCAGGGCAACATTATTGTGGCCCAAACCATACTTTGATTCTAAAAAATAAAATATTTTTAATTGTCTTGTTTGAACCTATTCTGCATTTTCAGAATAAGAAATGCAGAATTCCAGGTGGTAGCTACTTGAAATAACTTCTAATAAAAAGCAAGCTTTTTGACTGTTATCTAAGCTTTTGTCTTTAAGCAGGGATTATACCAATTAAAATTATGATGCAGTCACAGAGAAGCAGAGATATTCTTCAACTGGCTTTTGGAATATGCTGTCTAATCTCATATTTTTAAACTTTTTTTTCATTATCAGATATATCTGTGGTTATTTATTACATTATTAATCTTCTTTGATTACATTTATCAGAGAGGACTGTTATTTTGATGGCAGATTAAATGATTTTTTTTTCTGAAAGAAGGTGGTCTTGGAAGATCTCCCATTCCTAGGTGTAAACCATGTCTGTTAGATTCTCACCTCAGCACTTTTTTGAAGTGTCTGCTTACAAGGAAAACTCACCTGCAAGGTGCTTTTTCTATCCTTCTCTTCATCAGTGCTAGTTTTTTTTTTGTCTTCTAAATTTAAATTGGGAGTAAAATGAGTTGTACAGATCTCATCAAAACAATTCTTTTGGCTTTCAGGTTTAATTAGCATGTTGCAGGTGAGCACATGCTGTCTAAAATCCAGTGAGAAGTGATAATCCTCTATCTGGACTCCCAAGTTTATATTTTGTTTTTTCCTCTAATAGTGTCAGTTGCTTTTCCTCTAGGGCTGTGTAGTAAATTGAAGAGAAACGTAGCTTTTCATAAATCACCTAAGCTATTTGCTTGTCTTCAAGTTTTAATGATTTTTCAATGTCAGAACAGTACTGTCACTGAACATGAATATTACAAATAATACCAAGAACAGTTAGTCAAGAAGTATTTCTAACATTTCTTTCAGACAGATGCTCTGAACAGAACCAGAACAAACTATGGCTTGTCTTACAATGACAAATATGGAAAGTACAGCAACTTCTACTGTCCACCAGAATGGTGACGTCCGTGGAAATAGCAGTGCACCCAAGCAGACAGAACCATTGCTTCAAGTGTACCTTTATCATTCTCCTGGGAAGACAGAAGGAGATTACCTTCAATTTTCAGCTGGAGAATATGTTGCAGAAGAGATTTGTGCTGTTGCCTGTAAAGCTTGTGGTAAGTATATACCTAACAGTTTATCTAATAAAGCCATGAAATCCAACTTCCTACAAGAAAGTTTTCAACAATCCAAAGCTCATAAAAATGGTGGCATTTAGACTGAAGTGCTAATTTCACTGTTCTGTCAGATGTAGTTAGCAGCAGGCTGTAAAACTGTTCCCATTAGAATGGTTGTGAAGCTGAATTGGGTGACTGCCATGTTTTTTCAAACAAATTAAAGGTATACCATCCTGTAACTGAAAGTCTTCTTTCATTGAGCTAAGATACAGTTTGAATAGTAAATCATAGCAGGAGCTGCAAATAGCATGAATTACTTCCTCATGCAGCCCTGCAAAACACATTGGTCCTGGAAGTTATGTGCATATGTTGTATAATATTCATGCTTAATCACTTTGCAGAAGGAAACTGTTCTGTTAGATATAACATGAATGCTTGTGTGTGTGGTTGATGCTCTTTGTAATGGTCTAGGAAATAAAGTATGTAAATAACAGGGTGGTATAATGTAAATAAATAATACATTGATATCCAAGAATGCCTTTGAATCGTTGCATTTACGTAGAGTCTAACATACACCAGGGCTGAAATCTGTAGTAAAATAATTCAAATATGCATTTTGTGCATACATCTTTCTTTGCAAAAGTACATTGAATTTTTTAATAAAACAAATTCGTTTCCTATAATCTCTGGGTATGAAAGGGATTATCTTTTTGTTCTTTTTTCTCTTTCATAGCAACCATTTTTGCTTAAATCATAAGGCATTGCTTCTCATTGGTTTTTTTTTTTTTTTTTTTCTGAGAGGATTTTTTGGTTGTACAGCAGAACACATATGACTCCATACTGTCATGTAATGTTTGTTTGCAAGACTCATCTTTCAGGAGTAAGCTGTGAGTCAGAATACTTGGTTAAGAAGGGAATGATCTGGGTAGTAAGCAAGACTGAAATATAACCAATTTGGTAATTGTTAATGAATTTTGTGATCTGAACAACTGATGGATCTTTTGATAGCAGAGCTGATTATATCCAAGTATGACTGCTGTTGGAGGCAAAGCAGGACTGGATCTAGGCAAACATCAGCAGTCAGAGAGTCTCGTTACATATCTTTTAAACAGTTCAAACAATTGAAAATTTTCCAGTCACTGCTAACTTGACATTAGATCCATTATATCTGGTATGTACTGGCTATAAAAATATTAGTCTGTCTAAATATTTTTCTGCCAGTTTCATACATGCATGCAAAAGCTTGGCCATTTTTTTTTTAAACTTTATTTAAAAACAGTTTTCTGGTTTGGGAAAATATAATAAATATAAACATTTTTGTGGGTTTGTATTTTTATAAGGAAAACTGTACATAAAAGTGACTATCACATTTTCCAAGCAGAAATGCAAAAATAAATAAGGTGTCTTGAAATTAAATTTCAATCGATGAGTTAGTCATGGTTCAGTTCTTGCATGTTAGCTAGTTAATTGCCAAGTAAAAGATTAGAAATGTCGCATCAAATTGAAGAAAAGGTATTGTTCTTAGCCTGAGGGGGAGAGTGGTATTAGAGGAACTAACTGATGATGGAAATGAAATATATTAGAGAAATCATTCAGGCGGTTGCAGAATCTTTGTGTTAGGTGTATCTTCATTTTAATTCTCACCCATCTGAATTGCAAATTTGCAATTTATCAGAATTTCCATGATACAACCCTTGAAAAATTCTGATCTCTCTTGGAAAACCATAAAATGGCAGAGAGTTTTTAATGATAAGTAAGTAAAAGCACTGTTTCAAAGCATTTAATGTGACAAATGGTGGCAATGTTTGCAGTCAATGAAATGTTTTCAAGGCAGAGAGTGCATTGCATAATGTTATGATTTGTACTCTTTGCTTCTATGCTCAAGAAGAGATTCCGTGCTGTTAACAAGGGAATTCTATGCATGCTGAATTTCCAGAATTGACATGACTCAGTGTTCACGTAGCTCAGAGTTGTCATTGACTGTAACTGTTCACTGAGGGTTGGTTTTTTTGTTCAGTGGTTTTGTTTGGTTTCAGGGGTTTTTTTTCATGTGTATGTGTGTGTGTGTGTTTGTGTGTGTGTGTTTGCTTGTTATTGTGAGGTTGTGTTGTTGTTTGGTTTTTCTTTGTTTGTCTTCCTTTAGGTGATAGCCTTTCCTGAAAATCCGCCCAGAACATGCAGCCCCCCTGCTCTCCCCCACTAGCTGGGGAATGAATTAATCAGAACTCTGGGCAATTCTGTTTTTCCAGGAAAAGAAATAGAAGCTTTGATTGACTATTCAGAAACCATTTTGTTGACAGGATCGTGGCATTGAATGTGATGTTTAGGGTTTGGTTAGCCTGCACTTTGTATGAATGATAATGCAAGATACTATTTTTATGTCAGAAAAGGCAAGCAATGGTATATGCAGGGCTATATAAGTTTTAAACAGTTTACTTCCAACTGTATGAGAACTAATGTATGTATTAGACTTTTTATATCAAAAATTTGAGACTTTTATTAATCATTCAACTAATTGCTTTCATCTTTTTATATCTAATAACTTACACGCTTGAGTTGAGAGTTTCATACAACAGTATTTCTATTGCAGACTCTTCTTGACTTTAACATTTCATAGTGGTGTCATGCTTGTTGTGATTTATACTTCCTGTTTTTTATTTTTTCTTATGAAAATATACTGTGTGGGAGAAGGGGTTCCTAATGCCAAACAGGTAATGACAATAAAAGTAACTTAAAATGATGTTATGAGACAAAAGAATTCTGGGAAAAGGCAAAATACCAACACCCCTGCTCAAAGACTTAGAATGAAGGAATTGAAATTCTCACAAGAAACCAGCAGAAAAAAAACCTCCGTTATTTCTTTTTCTGTTCTGAAACACATGTAGGTAACTACTGAAAGGGGCAGACCCCACACTTCTTTCATCGCATCTAAACAGCATGTAAGACAATCAGAAGAAACAACCAACCAATTCCACATATAAAACCACATAACCCTTTGGAATAAAACATATTTCAGTCTTAAACAGCAACTAGCTTATTAAATTTGATACAGAAAAGGGTTTGCCTCTATAGGGGTCTAGTAAGAGGGCTAAGAACTAGAGTTCTGTTGTGTATTTGTGAAGATTAAACTGCTGAAATCTGTAGGCTAATCATCTGACACCTTCTTAAACCAAAGCTCTACAAAACATACCAGAACTGCAGGTTTTAACATATGATTTTCTAAGAAAAGGAGTCACAGACTTACAGGAAACTAGAGAAACGGAAAGCATTAAAAAGGCAATGAAAGGGAAACCAAAACAAAACCAATCCCCCACAGGAATAAAACTGAAGGGATAAGTAACTGAAAGATTGGCTATAATTCTAAATGTTGCAAATTTATGGTGCAGTATTACATGTTTGATCCATCCAAGTTATGAGTTATGTGTTTTTCCTTTTTTTTTTTTTGCCTTCTTACCCCAAAGTATATTGTTTTAATGTAAAGTTTCCTTTAGATATGACCTACTGTAACTTTAACATTGTAATTTTTCATCCTACTCTCTGGCCTTTCGACCTGTGTCTCTTTCTGTCTTCAGAATATGTGTGTCAATACCTGCAGTTCATCCTTTTGTGCTGTTAGTTTTCAGGCAGTTAACCTGTTTTCCAGATCTAACACTGGCATCACAGGGAGGCATAACACTGCAGCACAGTACAATGCTGAGTCGTAGGCTATGTTTCAGCTGGGAACATTAAAGTCAAATTAAAATTCTGGTGCTGGTGAAGAGTTGATGCTCAACTGATTTTTTTAGTTTCTGATTAAGTAGGATTGCTTGTCAGTTACCATTAGCATAAATCAAAGTTGTTGAGGGAAAATAATATTTTCCAGTTCTGTTTTATTTTAACAGTATATGTTTGGGTTTGTTGCAAACTGAGTTACTAATATGGAAATGGCTAGTGGTTGTCCTAGTCACTACAATTTTCTTTCTATTGCTTTACTTCTAATTTTTATCAGTCTAAAATCTTAAAATCAATTCTTAGTTGTAAAATCAATGCTCAAATCAAATGATCTGATTTTGAAAAGGCAGGAAAAGAAATCTACTGTTGTAACCTGTTTCTAAACTGGGAGGCTAAGAAGACATTTTATTAAATGCCATACAGAGAAAATGAGAAAATCTTGTTATCTAACAGTGAGTATAGGACAACAGGTGAACATGGTCTTCAGTCAGACAGCATAAAGGAAGAATGAAAAATTTAACCAGCAAAGCAGCCTGCAGGTTATGGGATTGTAATTGCAGTGTTGTTGGCAGTACTGATACCTGTTGCCCGTAGTAGTAGAGCACTGTGGCAATCTGCTGCTTTTAACCCACAATATTTTAAAAATATTTTGTGAAAACTGTTTCCTGCTGATATTTGCTTCTCTGCTCCTCATGTAGGTATCATGCCGGTGTATCATAACATGTTTGCACTGATGAGTGAAACAGACAGAATGTGGTATCCCCCAAATCACATCTTCCATGTGGATGAAACAACCAGGCTCATCCTAATTTACCGGATAAGGTAATTAAATAAAATGTTGTGCACTTTTCATGATAAAACAAGACTGTGTGAGAGAACACAACCAGTATGATATTTAGTTGAACTGTAGTTTCTTAGAAGTTATGGACAGATTGCTGGCTTTTTCTGGAAAACAGGGAGCTAAAAGAATCAAAAATACTGGAGTGATTTGAATTATGTGTACTTTATTAATTTTCTCTATCCAATATGTTAACCAGTGTCAGATTGAAGAAACAAACAACAAAAACACAATAGAAGTAAAAAGCTTTCATAATAGTGATACATCTCATCTCCTCTGTGCTTGCCTGTTTGAAATAAGTATTAGTTTCTGAAATGCAGAGTAATTGTCCTGCATAGTCAGACATGTTTCTGCAATACAGCCATTTTTCACTAACCTTATAATTGAATGTGGACAACTAAAACTGCAGTCACAGTTTTCCTTTTGTAAACTGCCTAATTTATTTACATTATATAATTTGGCCTGAGCGGTTTTTTGGGAACTGTTTCAAAGGAAACTGGAAGGCACTAATAAAATTCTCTGTATTCTGATTAATGAGAATAACTTAGCAAAGGTTCTCATTCCTCTCAGTACAGTTGATCACCTTGCTAGAGTACTATAGTACTTCAAAACATCAAGAACTGGATCTGAAGTCTTCATTGAGTAACTGGGGTTTCATAGTGCTCCTCCAGATCAGCAGCACTAGTTACATGTATTTGAGAGCAGTAATGTCTGATACTGGTAACCAAAATATCTGTTTATTAACATTTGCTTGAATTTATTTCCTACCAGGTTTTATTTTCCCCACTGGTATTGCAGTGGCAGCAACAGAGCATACCGGTATGGCGTTCTTCGAGGCGCAGAAAGCCCCGTCCTTGATGATCTTGTCATGTCTTACCTATTCGCACAGGTATGCTTTGCTCTCCTGTTTTTAAATGCAGATTGGTGAGGGTTATTAGCATCTATTCCCTTTCCATCTTCTCCTAGTAACTCTGTAGGCTCTTGAAAGCCTGAAGCCCTCTCAAGCTGGAAATTAAATTCCATGCCCTATTGTGTATTTGGAGAAATGAAGTTCAAAACAGTGCTTCTAAGCATGATAGCAGCTGGTATTCCTTATGAATAAGTACATCTTTTTGTGGATGAAGTAGGTCATTCAGTCTTTAAAGAACCAAGCCAATAAAACACTCTAAACTAACCAAGTATAAACAATCAAACAACACAATCACAGCTCCCCCAATAACTGCACCCCAAACCTCCATTCTTGTTAAGCAGCAGTACACCAGGTTTCATTTGCTTTCTTGCATTCTTTTTCAGTGGCGAGCTGATTTTTTGGATGGATGGGTACAGATGCCTGTTACTCACGAAACACAAGAAGAATGCCTTGGAATGGCTGTTCTAGATATGATGAGAGTGGCCAAAGAAAAAGACCAAACCCCAATGGCTATTTACAATTCAGTCAGGTGATTCCGTAATTTGTAACTGTTTCACATCTATCTCCTGCCTAAACGTTGTATTTCTGTGCATTAGTGTCTAGGAGAAGGTGTTCACCTGTTGGCAGTTGATGTGTTGATGTAAAATAGTTACATAATTTTATCTATTATGTAAAATAGAAACTAATTAAAAAATTGTGTTGTGATGGCCAGTCATGATTTGGAGACATGGGTTTGTCTCTCTTGATGAAAGGTAAGGCAGCAGCTTATTGTGTGAGAAAATATGTAAGCAATAATTCTAGGTGAGACAACTTCTGTATGTCATCAGATCCAAGCCCCTGTTCCTGTCAGGGTCGAATTCAAAGTTAGATGAAGGGACTCAGGGCCTCATCCAGTCAAGTTCTAAAAATGTCCAGATATGGAGATTCCCCTGTAACTCCTTTGTCCTCTGCATGACCATGGTCAGTGTGAAAGAATTTCTCTGTACCTAATCAGTCTCCTCTGTGATACTGATAATCCTCTCTTGTCCTTTCGTATTGGTAGATGACAATTAATAGAACACCATACTTGAGCCTACTTTTCTCCAGGCTGAACACATCAAGCTCCCATATGCCTCTTCTCTCATGTCATGGCTCTTAACCATCTTGGGCAGATCTCTGCTAAACTTTCTTGAGTTTATCAACTCACTTGGGTGTATCAATCCTATCAGCTTCTACTCCAGCTGAGTTAATTCTGCCCCTGACACAGGAACTTCAGTGACAACCAACCACAGTTTTTTATTCTACCACCTGTATTTTCAGCCAGGAAATCTGTCCTTTATCCACGTAGTTGACATGCAGTATCCTCTTTACAATTTCTACACCAAACAGAGCAATTTTGTAACTTCTGCTGCCTTACCTTAGAACTTCACTAATGAAGGAACAGACATCTTTGAATTATGGAAAATGGCGTTATGTAGTTTATGTTGCAATTGAATGAAGGAAGAAATGGAAAATGGCAGGGAAGCTCTATCTGAAAGCATGTACTACAGATCTAAGAAAGGATTTTTGTTATCTTACAGTTGTAAAAATAACAGTACATTTAGAGGTAAAGGTGTTTTCAATGTTGACTTGTTTAGCACAGAACTACTTATCTTTGCTGGATTTAATGGATAAAATTAGCAGCTTTTTTTGTCTGGTTATGTATTCACAGCTACAAAATGTTTTTACCTAAGTGTGTGCGAGCAAAAATCCAAGACTACCACATTTTGACACGAAAAAGAATAAGGTACAGGTTCCGCAAATTTATACAACAGTTTGGCCAATGCAAAGCTACTGCCAGAAACTTGAAACTTAAGTATCTCATAAATCTGGAAACCCTTCAGCCTGCCTTCTATTCAGAGGTTTTTGAAGTAAAAGAACCTGGTGGAGGTCCTTCTGGAGAGGAAAGTTTTGCAACCGTTGTAATAACTGGAAATGGTGGAATTCAGTGTTCAAGGGGAAAACTTAAAGACTGTGAGACACTTGGAGAGCAGGTAATTTTAAAAAAAATTATTTTAATTACTTGTTATGGAACAGAGTAGTAAGCTTGTTTTAGAAGTTCTGATTTACCTCAAGCAAAGTTGGTAGGCAAATTTTACTTCACAATGGCATATAAAAAATGTGAAAATGTAATGACCGTGCCCCCAGGTGTAGATAAAATGCAGAAATTCCCCAAATCTTCTTTGAAAGCTGTGATCTAAGGACTCCAAACAAGAGGCAAATTCTATATCTTTCCTGCTGCAGTTAGACACCTACCAGTGTCTCAGCAAATTTAAAATGACATCTGTGTGATAGTGGAGTCCCTATAGTCTTTCTTCAGGAATAGGTGCTTAGTGGTTCCTATAAGCGCTAGTAATCATGTACTGCTGCATTTTTATTTATCAGTATTATTTTTTGTGCGTGTGTGTGTGAGATTTCCCATCACGACTGTTCATTATGTTGAGTTTACCAAAACTCGATAGAAACTCAAAACAGTGTACATTGAGAGTGTGGGAGTTATGCAGAGGTAAAAGTAAAGGCAAACTGGAGTATATGTGTTCTTTTCAAAATCATTGCATTGGTTTGGTAATTTTGATTTGTAATATGTAGCAGACAAGACCAAAGTACAAAAAGTTGCATTTCTATAGTGTGCTGTAATAATTTGTAAAAAATGCTATATGCTAGTGGGTTTTTTCAATACTTAGCAAAAAGTAAATCTGATTACATGCCCATATTTTTTGAAGTGTGGTGTTGGAATATTTGTAGATTGACAATTACTTCATTAATAGTTGCTATGTATCAGCCCTCTGCCTTCCCTGATTTTCCTGTAAATGCAAAGTGCTCTGACAGGAGCTGTCATAAATGTCAGATTCTGCAATTTCCAGTTTTAGGTGTACACAGTGTGTGCATACTATGCTGTTTGAGCTTGGCAACCAAGCCTTTAGTAGGCATAGTGTTTGAATGAATGATGTTTTTGTATAGATTGTCAAATTATTTTTTCATAAATAAAATGTAATCATCATATTATTGACAGACACTGCATATATTTTCACTGGTAAAGAAACTATGTATAAAGTTGGTTTTGAAAACTGGATTAATTAATATGGATGCTTGTAAACATGATTGTAACTCGTTTCAGTAAGCTTTACTGATGAATTGTTATTTAGATACTGAACTGAAAAATAATTTTTATTTATTTGTATGTAATGCCATATATGGGTGGAGTAGATTGTGAAGAAATTTGTTTTGCAAGTTTACATTTTCACCAACCAGAAGAGCAAGTAGGTAGGACTGAGAGGACTACCATACACTTTTTCTTCATCCAGCTAGATTTGCAGCTTGTATCACTCTGAATGCAGTTATGACATTTTGTATTGTTAACGGGCTTTCTAAACCTGTTTAATCAGGATACCAATAATAAGCTCACAAAAAAAAAAACCCTTCTCACAAAAGTAGTCTAAATGTTCTACTGTTCATAAAATACTACAGAGTGAAGAAATATCTACAATGATAAAAACCCAAGCCCATATGTGGATATTTCTGGTCATGGTTCCTGGATCTCTGTCTGTTCTTCAATTTATGTTCCTAGGGATGATTCCATAAAGGAAAAAATGCTTTATTTGCTTGTAATGGCATGTTTAAGGTTTTATAATCCTCTTTGTTGTTAGCTTATGAGTTCAGAGTTGTAGAAGTTCCAATGCTGCAAATAGGTGAGAATTTTTAATTGCCGTTTATGTTATTACTGAAATTGTATGATATTTGTTGCAGGATTTACAAACATACTGTGATTTTCCTGATATCATTGATGTCAGCATTAAACAAGCGAGCCAAGAAGGCTCCAGTGAGAGAAGAATTGTCACCATTCACAAACAAGACAGCAAGAATCTGGTCTGTTTACTTTGGTTCCTGTTCTTTCTAATAGATACTGCTTTGAGCAAGCTGTGTGATTATTGTGTGCATAGTATTATATAATCCATGACTATGTTAATTAAGCATGACATAAAACTAAACACTATTAGCAGTGTAAGGCGTGTTATCAGAACACTAAAGGTTTTCTGCATTCAAAGCTACGTGCTTGAAATGAAATAGAAATAGATGTTTATATCTGAGGAAAATTTCTGGTACACAGATTGGTTCTTTTGTTTATTAGTCTTAAACCTGAGTCCATGGTTTCATTTCTCAAGTGTGCTGTTTCCATGGTGTCCTGATAAGCTGTCTGCTAGAGACCAACACATTCAAAAAGGCTTCAAAATGTTCTGAAGAAAGAAGATACAAAATAAGTATCAGGACAAAATTAATGTTACTGCTTTTACTGTGTACAATTCTTTGAAGAAGATCTTAAGAAAGTATTTTATGCCCAAATATAAAAAGCTTTTTACTTGAACTACAACCTTGCATTTGAGTTAGGCTTTCTAGCAGGTATAACTATCACAGAATTGTGGGGTGGGCTGATCCTGGCTGGGCACGAGGTGCCCACCAAATCTGCTCTAATCACTCCTCTCTTCAGCTTGAACAGAGGAGAGAAAATGCAATGAAAGGCTTGTGGGTCAAGATAAGGATAGATATTGCTGACGTATTAACCATCATGGACAAAACAGAATTGACTTGGGGAAATTATTTGAATTTGTTTCAGAGTAGCGTAATGAGAATAAAAAATCCTAAAAATATTTTCCCACCATCCCTCCCTTCTTTATGGGCCAACTTTATTCCTTATTCTCTACTTCCTTCCCCTCAGCAGTGTAGAGCATTGAGAATGGGAGGTGTGGTCAGTTCATTGCATGTTGTCTATGACTCTCAGTCTTCCTCAACTCATCTCCTGCTTCAGCAAGGGATCCCTCCAATGGTGGAGAGTCTTTCATGAACTTCTCCAATGCATATTGTTTCCATAGGATGCAGTTCTTCATGAACTGCTCCAGTGCTGGTCACTTCCACAAAGTGCAGTTCTCCAGGAACAGGCTTCTCCACAGCTCCATAGTGGCTCATGGGGCCACAAATCCTGCCAACATCTATGTTTCCCTGTAGGCTTCCCATGGGGTCACAACCTCCTTGAGGCATATCCTACTTCTGTGACATGAGGTTGTTCATGGGCTGCAGGGGGATCTCTGCTGCCCTATGAACTTCCATGGGCTGCAGAGGCACAGCTGCTTCACCATGGTCTGCACCATGGTCTGCAGTTGTGTCCTGGTCCTCTTAAAAAGGAGTTTGAAGACACTAAATTCTTAACACTTAGTCAAAACACCTCTTTTTATTGCTCTCTAGCAAAGAACTTGCCAAATGTGCTCAGCTAAGTATGTCTCTGGTGTCACAGGCAAACACATACTAAAGCCTGTTCTCTTGGGTTACGCTACTGAATGAAACCTAGGGTGGCTCAGAAAATGCTTCTCTGTTTTTGTTTTATTTGCAGCAATTAATATGTTGTTGCAGATTAATGTAATTTTTTCCCTGCTTTTATCTGGTAATCATACTGTGCATAGGACCTTTTTTCACACCCATTTTCCTTTGACCGCACCATTTTTCTCCCTGCTCCTCTCCAGTATAGCAGTCTTCATAGTAGTAAAACGTCATCTTCTGTCTATGATCCACCTGAGGATGCCAGTTTTTGCTGACTAGTAGTTAAGTTTTCAGGCAGGTACTTTCCTGGACATTTTTCTTTTCTGCTTGAAGGCAGACATATAAATCTTTGATAAGTGAAGGCTTTCCTTTAGGGAAATGAACCAGACTGTATTGGCAGTGCAGTAGGTATCTGCATGCTGACTCGTATCTACTTGTTTTTCCCTTTCACATGCTTTCATATTGGCATTACTCTGCTGTTTCATCTATTTAGACTAGGGTTTGTTTTTTTTTTAAGGCAGATTTCATAGAATCATGGAATGGTTGGAGTTGGGAGGGACTTTAAAGATCAGCTGGTTCCAATGCCCCTGCCATGGGCTGGGACACAGTTCATTAGAGCAGATTGTTCAAAAGCCTGTTCCAGGGATAAGGCATCCACAACTTCTCTGTTTTCTTTGGTTTGGATTTGATATTGAACACTGAAGGTTGCTATCAAGTTTTGAATCATAACAATAAGGTAGAAGGTACAAACATCAGTTAAAAACTGCTTTTATTAATGTCTTTAATGTGCATAGATATGCATATCTTTTATAGCATTAGCATATTCAGGAATTTTTTGTTGCCTATTAAAAATTGAAATTCTCTCTCCATCCCTACCCCACATTGTTTTCTGGCAATTGAACAGGAGGCTGAATTTCAGTCATTAAGAGAAGCTCTCTCCTTTGTATCATTAATTGATGGATATTACAGATTAACAGCGGATGCCCATCATTATCTCTGTAAAGAAGTAGCTCCACCATCAGTCCTTGAAAATATCCAAAGCAACTGTCATGGGCCAATTTTGTAAGTATTTTTTTTTAGTGATATGATAATTCAATATTTTTTTGGAAGATGAGCTTTAGTTGTCTGTGAACTGTGGTAGGCATCTTAAAATGTTTTTAATTGCTTTTATGTAACATAAAATGCTTTATATTTTTCATCTTATTTTTCACTTGTAAAATACAGTGCCTTTGTGACATGTTATAAAAATTAAGTGGAAGGATAATTCCTTGATAGAGATAGAAATAGTGAGTTAGCAAGACTTGTTTAAGAGGAAATTAGTTCTTATAATAATAATGAATGTTGTTTTATTTCAGCTCTTTTTTCTTGTTAGCCATTTTCCTGGTAAAACCCATCTTTTTCAGCCACACAAATGTTTTGCTAATTTAAGCTTATTTGTTAAGTAATTTTATTATAGCTTCTTTCATAATGCATGTTGAAAATCATATCATAAGCTGTGGGGAATATATTTTTTTAGCTCTTAACATTTCTTATTGGATAAATAATTGTGACGGTTTAGCATCAAAAAATTTCAATATGCTGCTCTCTACATAAGCAATCACCCTATATATTGGAAAATAAAGGGCAGAGAGATTTTCTTAAAGAAAGCTGTACAAAATTGAAAGTTTTACTTATTGTTCTATTAGATATTTGTTAATATTGCTCATTACTCAACATCTTATATTTATGCATTTTGCAATTATGCAGCATTAAACATTTTCTTTTTACTGCAGCATGGACTTTGCTATCAGTAAACTGAAGAAGGCGGGTAATCAGACTGGTTTCTATGTCCTTCGCTGCAGTCCTAAAGATTTTAAAAAATACTTCCTTACCTTTGCTTTAGAGGTTTGTATTCTGTCTTAGTGCCTATTTAATTTTTGTTGTGATATAACAATGAGCCTGAGATGTTCAGTGAATGATTCTGAATTTTCCCCCAGAATGTATGTCTGGTATGTATATTCTATAGCTACTTTTGTCAGACAGGGCAATTTTCAGGGTCTTGTGAGAAACGTCAGAGTTGATACAGAATTGCTGATGCACATGCCTTGGAGACCAAGGGAAGACAGCCTAAGAGTTCTGGAGATAATGACATGGATCTTGGGACTGTGATGTTGGGATAAATGTTTGGGAGATGGAGCTGGAGCAATCTGATGGGTTTTCTATTTTTTTAACATTTGGGGATTTTTACTTGAGTTTTTCCCTGGGTTTTCCACATACCTCCTCCCCCCCCCCTCCCCCACAAGTGGGGCTCCATTAGATTGGGTATACAGCCTTTGACAATCTGAGAGTGCCTCCTTCACAGGTTCTTCTGGGTTTGGGTCTTGTCCTCATCCCCAATACTACCATATTATTTGGCAGCTGTTACATCAACACAAATCTCCTGGGTATTTCTGTTGTTAGCTAGAGAGAAAACCACCCTGGAGATGCATATGGGTGCTTAGAGAACCAGATGTACCTGTTCTCTCTGGCATTGCAGCTAGTGATGACATAATGCTTTATTATTGCTGTTATATAATTTTATGATCTTTTTTCAAGAATGGATTTATCCTTAATTACATTAGCAGAGCTCCCTTTGTGTTTTTAGCTAGGAAAGGTAATACTCGAATTTTCCTGCTGGTATACAGCGAGCTAGCAAGTTTGCTAATACTGTCAGAGATAGGTACATTTCTGAAAATGACCAAGTAATGCTGATGTGTGAATGGAGAAATGTTGTGTCCAATCAGTGAGGTATGTTTGGTAGGGAATTTTGTAGACAAAGAAATCAGTTCCTGAACAAGCTTAGAGAGGCAAAGTTGAGAGTCAAGCTTGTGAGAGAAGACTACCATTGCCTTTAAGGGACTTTACTGCAACTTTTTTTTCTTTTTCTGAGACTTGAGCAAGTCATTGGAAGACTTTTTATATTCAGAATTTGTTGAAACATTTGTTGCAGGATTGAGATACAGCATCACAAAAACACTATTAAGAGTTCATCTTGCTTAAAAATGTTTAATGGTATCTTTTCAAGAGTCTTTGTGAAAATAATTCAGTGCATATTAAAAACACATATTAGGAAGTAATTTCTTAGAACTGTGCTGGAGATGACACGAAAGCAGAATTACAGCTGAGATCTCCAAATCTGCCAAACAAACATGAAGCATAAGCATTAGGGCTATTGCTTCCAGCAAAATTTTGCTTTGATGTAACCCCATGTCAGGGTGAATGAGCTTTCCTTAATAGCTCTGAAGGATTTTTCCTAGGATCCATTATCTGTTTTCTCAGCTCCATCTTTTCAGATTTCATTAACATTTGTTTTTCTCTAGCATCAACATGCTAGTTCCAGTGATGGGGGTAGAGTCATGTTTTCTCAGAATCAATATTACATAGTGAGAACAAAATAACAAATTATGATCATATTTTACTGAAGCATCCTTTCTCTAATTAGTAGAGTGCTATACATTTAGATAAGCTTTCAAATATTAAATATTAATCAATTTCATTTTTAATGGAAAAATTTTCTGCAGCGTGACAGTACTACAGATTATAAACACTGCCTAATTACGAAGAATGAGAACGGAGAATATAATCTTAGTGGAACCAAGAGAAGTTTTAGTAATCTTAAGGATCTCTTGACCTGTTACCAGACAGAAACTGTCCGTTCAGACAGCATAATTTTCCAGTTCATCAAATGCTGTCCTCCAAAACCAAAAGGTAAGAGAGAGATTTCTAAGCAGAAAGTTTTCTGTTTTCTAGACTAAAGACTTAAAAATAAGTTAATACTAAATGGCTCTCAGGTAGATGCATGATACAAAACTGGGAAGAACTATTGGTACCCTTGAAGGCAGGGAAGCCCTTTAAAGAGACCTCAGAGAATGGGGCAATCACCTGCCATATGAAGTTTCATATGAAGGATAATGTCAGATCCTGCAGCTGGGATGGGGCAACCCTGGATGTACAGACTGGGGAATGAGTTGCTGGAGAGCAGTGCCATGGAAAGGGATCTGGAGCTCCTGGTCTGTGGCAAGCTGAACATGGGTCAGCAGTGCCCTGGCAGCCAGGAGAGCTAAGCATGTCCTGGGGGGCATCAGGGACAGCATGGCCAGCCAGGCAAGGGAGGGGATTGTCCTGCTCTGCTCTGCACTGGGGCAGCCTCACCTCCAGTGCTGGGGGCAGCTCTGGGTGCCACAGTAAAAGAGATACAAAGCTATTGGAGAGTGTCCAAAGGAGGGGAAGCTGTATGAGGAGTGGCTGTAGTCAGTTTTTCTGTTCAGCCTGGAGAAGAGGGGAATGAGGAGGTGCCTCACTGTAGTTACAGCTTCCTCATGAGGGGAAGAGGATGGACAGGCACTGATCTCTTCTCTGTGGTGACAGTGACAGGACCCAAGGGAATGGCCTGAATCTGTGTCAGGGGAGGTTTAGGTTGGGTATTAGAAAAAGCTTTTTCACCCAGAGGGTGTTTGGGCACTGGTAGAGGCTCCCCAGGGAAGCGGCCACAGCACCAAGCCTGACAGAGCTCAAGAAGTGTTTGGACAATGCTCTCAGGCATGTGGTGTGACTTTTGGGGATGGTCCTGTGCAGGGCCAGGAGCTGGACTTGATAATCCTTGTGGTTCCCTCCAACTCAAAATATTTTGTGATTCTGTGATACATTTGTGTGGGTTTTTTTTTATTTCACTGATCTATTTATTCATCTTCTTACTCATAGTTTCCAGTCGTGGTGTCTGCAAAATTTTGATGTAAGATAGTCTTCCAGAAGTAATCATGGTAACCAGTTTTGTGATTAGAAGCAAAACTGGTTTCTTAATTGCAGTGGATTGTGTGCAGCAGCATTTCTTCTTACATCAAGTATTTTCATGTCTTGAGAAGGAAAGAGCTACTAAATGAATTATTTATCACTGAGAATACTTCCAAAGGCAATGGAACCAACAATGTCAGTGAATTTCTGTCATTGTTGATCTTAGCTATGTCAAGTCTGCAGTGTGGTTTCAGCTCCTTTTTAATACTTAAAAATTACACATGGAATAGGGCTTCTGCCTGAGGAGGGGATTTTTCTTGCATTTGCATTTTTTCCCCTGTCTTTGATATTCATATCTTTCTCCTTTATGAAATCTTTAAATATCTGCCCTTCTAAGTAGTACTACATACAGTTTAATATTGTCTTTGTCTTTATCAAAGTTCTTATTTAAAGACAAACTTGCCAGAACAGACTATATGATACAACTTTTGCTTCTCTCAAATTTGATTGAAAGTAGCCAGTGGATTCAAAACCTTAGAAATGATGTAACAAGTAAATATGCACATTATAGAGAATAAATTTTTAACATTATTCCATTAAAATAAAAAATTTATATGCATCAGAATGATAAATTATTGAATAAATATAATCAAGGATATGAGCAGATACCCACAAAGACATACTTTTCAGATTTAGTTTTAGTATAAGACTTGCTTGACTTTTTATTATAAAAGAAGGTAATTTACATCCCCTTTTCCATCCCCAATTGTTATTACAAATAATGCAGCAGTTAAAATGTGAAAGGGGCTAGGAATATTTTCATTATGTTTGTCAAAAGAAACATAAAACTCATGAGTGAACCTAGATGATTTTGCTGATTAGAAAATATCAGACTTTGATTTCAGTTTAATGCTGTGTGGCTTTTAAAATACACTGATCTCAATGTGCTATCTTGTTTGTGTTGAATCAGGAGCCCCTCATTATCAACCCTTCTGAAACACTATTGGTTTAGTTTTATATTTTACAAATTTACTTTGGTTTTCCTTTCCCTCTTTCTTCTCCCAGATAAATCAAATCTCCTAGTCTTCAGAAGCAATAGCGTTTCTGATGTACCTTCATCGCCTATGCTACAGAGACACAATAATGTCAATCAGATGGTTTTTCACAAAATCCGTAATGAGGACTTGATATTCGTAAGTCAGTTTGTTGCTTTTTCTACTGCAGATTTTGGGTTTAATATGCACCGAGTTTTAAAAACTAGGCATGTATTTAAAAGAATCTTACCTGAGCTGGGAGATTTTGCTGTAATCTTTCCTTAGAGTTGTGGAAAATAATTTTTTTTATTTTTCAGTAATGCAAATAACCATTTTTTATAATTAAGAAGCATTGTTTGGACTGAAATAACAGTCACTTGGTTCTAGAGATGTCTAAATACATAGCATTCCTTTAAATAATGGAATTGCTTCCTCTCTGGTTCTTGCAGCAAGTTGTTTTCTGAGATCCTTGAGTAATCAATAAAAAACAAGCAAAAATTTAAGATGTTTCTGATATAGTTGCTCCCTTTCCTTCTCAGCTGGACTCTACAGCCAGCACACCTCTAAAGACTTGCATATGCTTATACGGGGGGGGGGAGGAGGTTCTAAAGATGTTTTTTAAAACAGGCAGATATTTTTGATTTTATTCTGTCTGTATCCTTCCTTCCTTTTAGGAGGAGAGTCTTGGACAGGGCACATTTACTAAGATTTTCAAAGGTGTAAGGAAAGAAGTGGGAGACTATGGCCAGCTCCATCAAACTGAAGTTCTTTTAAAGGTGCTGGATAAAGTGCACAGAAACTACTCTGAGGTTGGTGTGATTGTTGACTGCTGTATAACATTTGTCCATGCTATACTGAGCATTAGTCTTCTTTTCATAAGCATTACCCATTTACTTCATAAATGAGTATTTGTGTGGTAGAGTTGTTTGTTGAACCAAGCTCATGCTTAGATTTGTGGCACTGGGAATATGGATTTGAGACTAGCTTTGGGAAGTACACCTATGTACTTTATTTCCCCTGTTCCCACCACCTGTGAGAGAATTCAGAACTACCCACTGAGATCTGAAGAACAAGTAATTTATACAATTAAAGTACCAGAGGAGGGTTGGTATGGCCACAGGATAGTCTTAACCAGTAAATTCATTATTTACAGACAAGGGACCATTTATGGAAAAAACTTCCTCTGGATAGAGTGTCTTCAGATTTTCCAATAAAATCAAGTAATCAGAAGTATTTATGCATGAGAAAAACTTGGCATACATGGATTCACCCATAATTACTGAGCCCTCTCACTTTTGGAGTGGTGCTTTTAGCAGACCTGAAATGCTTTTGTGCGCAAACTAATAAACTGGTAGTGTAATCAAGCGCAAGGCTCTGTATGTGAGAACTGAATTTCACAAGATGTAGTAATGTTTATTATAGTAATGTAACTTTATAAAACTGCTTTTGATAACATAGGTAATAAATTTATATTTTAAAGTATGAATCAGTTACTAAAAGTTCAGAGGATATAAATAAAGATATAGTCACCTGAAGGAAAATATTCTCATTTTCACTTCACTTTGTTGGTTGAGTAACCAGTACACAAGCAAGTGTAGGTGGAGATGCCACTGAACAGAATAAAAAAATAAAGAAAGCAATAAAAGTATTTGAAACTTTCCTGAAAAAGTTGGAGAAGATCTTGCTGTAGTGGATGAATTGCATAATAATTTTTGTGTTTTAACTTAATAGTGTGCTACAAAGAAATAAATTGGAAACTGAACAGTGCATATCGCAGAATAAATTAGAAAGTGAATAGTGTATGATAAATTTGCCTTCAATTTACCTAGGTAATTGACACTGAAAAAAAAAAAGATTATTTAAAAAATGTTGAGATACACTTGCCAGCAGAGAAAAAGAGGTTTTTAACCTATCTGGAATGTGTACCGCCAGTTATTTAGAAAAAGAAAATTAGGAAAAAACCTCCACGACAAAAACACTGAAGCAAAAACCAACCAAACAAGAAACAGTTGCCAAACACAAACCAACAACAATATAAAATATGTTACATAGGGTCTTTGCAAAGAGATAGTTGAAATGTTTTGAAAAAATTGTTTTTGTAAATTTATTAGAAGTTCGGGGCTTTCTTTTTACTGATGTATTTTCTTTCTCAATCTCTCCCTCTCCTTCCAAAAAGTCCTTTTTTGAAGCAGCAAGTATGATGAGCCAGCTTTCTTACAAACACTTGGTGCTGAATTATGGAGTCTGTGTTTGTGGAGAAGAGAGTGAGTAGAAATTAATTCTTTTTTTACCAATTTTTATAAGTCTCTACTAGAGTTTGACATTGTTTTTGGATAAAACCAGAGAAAAACCATCAAAACAGCAGAAGTTCAACATCAGCTGGGCAGCTAATACATGCTCATGCTGCTGCAGTATTAGCCTTGGTATCTGAGACCTAGTTAATAGTAAAAAAAAGAAAAGGAAAAATTGTTTAAAGTACAGTCTGTGTGAATAGTAACCTCTGTAGATGATTCAGTCATGTCTGTTCTGTCTGAGTTGAGTTTTGCTGTGCCTCTGGAATGAGCTTTTGAAGTGCCAGAAAAATTGTATCCTTACATTGCATCAGCTGTGGTTAGCTAGAACGGGAGGTACTGTGCTACCCAGAAAAATCTTCATTTATTGTGATTAGAAACAGACATTGCCACCCTTTTCCACCTGTGCTGACTTTATGAAAACAAATATAACTTTGGGAAGTTTGGTTTAGAGATCCCGTTCTGAAAAATATGAGGTCCTGGTAATTCAGCAAACACACTACAAAATTGTAGCAGCAATAAAATGTTTGCGTTTTCTGCAAAAGTTTAATGTCTTTCCAGTTTAGCTTACAGCTTTGTGACTGTGTATCAATAAGATTTTTTTAAGAATACCTGAAATACATTTATACCATCTTGAAATGAAATCTTAAGTTTGGATGGTTGCCATATGCTAATGTGACTTCAAATATGACTGCTGGATCTCACTTTGACATTTTTCTTCTTCATTCAGTCTTTGGGCTGAGATGTCAGTTTGCTCAAAACCCTTTTTTTTTTTCCTGTGATTAGAAATTTGTATGAAAGGAAGCATTTTATAATTGTATGGGCATATTATATAGGTGGTTACCTTCATTAGGGAGAAAGAATTTCCAAAACAGGCGGTGGATTCAGTAATCAGAATTTACCTCTGTAATCAGAAATTACCTCTCATAGAATGCTGGAAAAGGCACAGCATTATGTTTCGCCAAGACAACCACATGGGGTTTTTTGTATTTTATTCATTTTACCGCACACAGGGACGATATATAAAATTTCAGGTAGATCAAGTTTATAATTGAAAAGCAAGAGGTATATTTCATACATTTATTTACACATTTCACCTTTAGATCATAGCTGTCCTGTTGGAGTGATTCTGTTTCTGAAGGCAAGAGATTTACTACACTTGAAGGCTGTTATTGATTCAGTGATTCACACACTTGATGTACAGATTCGATAAAAATTGTTTCACATAATTGCAAAAAAAATGTATTTGCTGTCTCTAAAATGAATTTGTTAAAAAAATCTGGGTTTTTTTGTTACAGTCAGATAATACTAGTAGCTTCAATGTGAGCATCTTGCAGCTGAGGGCAAGGATTCAGTCATGTGATTTGAAATTATTGTGTGGAAATTGATGAAGATGGCAGTTCTTGTTTCTGGAGTAATTTGCTAGATGGCTGCATGAAGGCATATGTCATACACATATGCACAATTTTAGGGCAAATACTTGTCTGTTTTCAAGCAAAGCATCTTTTGTCAATAAAGCATTGCATTTTCCAGTAAGAATATAGATAGTAAACAACTATGAAGTGAATGACTTGAATGTTACTCAGCTCACCACACTGATAGTGCTATACACTACTATGCTTTGTCAGCAGTTACATTCTTGTGCCTTTCAGGTGAGGGTGGAAAGATGCTCACTGGATTTTAAGCTAATCTGTAAAAGATTAAATCTAAATTATTAACCCTAAAAGATTAAATCTAGTAAGAAGAAATTAGGTGAACTTCCACACTCTGAAAAAGTATAAAGAACATAGAGTATTCTTGGCAGTACTCAGATACCACAGAACTTGAAATTTGTAGTTAGATCACCAACAAGGTATCAAAAGAAGAGTACTACTAAAGTCATTAATCTGTCCTGAAATTTTATTATTTGTTGTTGGTTTTAATTGTTACTCTTTTTATCATTATGAATCAGACATCCTTGTACAAGAATATGTAAAATTTGGATCCTTGGACACATACTTGAAAAAGAACAAAAATATTATCAATATTTTGTGGAAGCTGGAAGTAGCCAAACAGTTGGCATTAGCCATGCATTTTCTGGTAAGTGGTTCAGTTTTGTTAATTTCAGAATTCAAGTGATTCTGACTAATGTGTGTAGAAAGGCTGAGCTATTACCTGAATTCTTAAAACTCTGGAGGGTTTTGATAATGGATTGGCTATATACCAGCTATTTAGTAGACATCCAGAGACAGACTTTGTATCTTGAACAAAGTGTAGTTGAATGTCCATTCTTTTTTAATGCTTTATGTTTTAGCATGAAATATAAACACATCTGCAGTAATGCTTTCCCCCCACCATCCCCACAAATCAGTCCTTTCTGGGCTTCCCACCTCAGCTCATGATGTTGAACATAAACTATTTCCTGGTAGTATTAATACTTAACCACTGGGAGGACAAAACACTGTACTGTTCACTCTGCTACTGCATTCTTCTTGGGCATTAGGTCTCAACCTTACAGTTGTTCCAGTTAAATATAAAGGCCATTATTCAAGACAGGATATGTGACTAGATAAGTCTTTTCTTTAACAGGATTTAAATATTCTTATATTAAATGGATAGATAAGCATTCTTCTGAGTTCAAAAATGTCAAATTGTTTCAGACTTTAGGCAAATAACAAAAATTGGCTGAAAACTGTAAGTTTGAGAGAAATTGGTGGTGTACTTGGAGTTTGATCAACTTAATCTGTGATCATTATTTTAATTGCTGATGTTTCCCTCATGCTGTACAGTATTTGTTTTTAAATATCTCTTCAACAGTAAGACTTTTGGTCCGTTTGTAAAAGATGGATTTCTGTTTATAGGAGGACAAAGGCCTTGTTCATGGGAATGTCTGTGCAAAAAATATCTTGCTTATTAGAGAGGAAGACAGGAAGTCTGGAAACCTCCCATTTATAAAGCTAAGTGATCCTGGCATCAGTATTACAGTTTTGCCAAGAGACAGTAAGTCTTTAGATCAACTTTCTTGTTCAATGCTTCTGACTTGAAAAATAAGTTTAAGGGTGGGGGTTTTTTTGACCACCATCTAATCTAATTTTGTCATAGTAACTTCCTTGATCTGTGTGTCATTTTATAATTATCACTACAGTCTTAGCCAAGCAGTTTTGAGTGTACCTTTAAAATTAGCAAACAGCTACAGGAAATAAGGCCACAGTTCTCCATTGTGTGAGCTTTTTTCTCTGCTGTTCTCATTTTTAACCCTGTTTCATTGGTAGTACTATTGTTACACTATATTGTAAATATATAATATAGTCTCTTACATTTACAGATAGCTGCTGAACTTAGTGTCTTGTAATTGATCAAGAACTTTCAGAACTGAAACCAAATGCACTTTTGAAAATGCTGACTGGCAGTTAAAAATCATCTTCAGTCCATTTCTTAGTGACTACCTAGAGCCGTTTGATGATGTTAAAAATACTGGGTTATCATCTACTCTTAAGACTGTTCCAATGCGTTACAAACAGCAAAATTAACTAAATGGAAAATGTGTGCAAGGTTGTTATGCTAATGGAATGGAAGTAACCTTACTATTCCTTTTATGGTCTTTCTTTTTAATGAAAACACTTCTTACTTGTACTTTTTATCGATGTCTAAAGAAGTAATGAATCTAACAGCTTATACATAATGCAGTGTCATTATTTGCCAGTAAACTATTTAAATTCTCCCTGTTTTAATATGAAGCTTACATTATTCTTATGAGATCTCATTTTAAGGACCTCTTAATCCAAACCAGTACAATCCCATGTTTTAACTTGTTACTACAGTCAGTAGCAATAGCTTAAAAATCACATAGTGTAATATTCCTTTTCATGGCGCCTTTTGCTGTGCCATAATATGCCAACCACTAGCAAAGTATTTTTTATTCTTTGATGTCTTAGTTCTTTGTGATAGCTGTTGGGTCTTGGTAAGATGGGGGAAATAGAGAAATTACAGAAAAAAATATAACATGGAAATTATATTAAGGCAATTTTATACTTTTAGGCTTATTTTACGGTAAAACAAATGGACCTCCTCTTTGATTCACAAACATTATTTTAATTTTTGTCCACATTCCATAATTTAATTTTCTTTGTGGGAACAAATACTTGGAAAAATATTATTAATACATTGCAATGAAATACCTGTCTGTATTAAAGCAATTTTTGCCAAATCAAATATGTTAGGGAATTTTATGGTATTATTGTTTATCTTAACAAGTTTCCTTTGTGTGATTGCACAGTTCTTCTTGAGAGAATACCCTGGGTTCCTCCTGAATGTATTGAGAATCCCAAACAACTGAGCCTAGCTACAGACAAATGGAGTTTTGGTACCACTTTGTGGGAAATCTGCAGTGGAGGAGACAAACCCCTGAGTGCACTAGATTCTTCAAGAGTAAGTATTACTGGGTCTGCAGTCATAGCAGTTCTTTGAACACTTCTAATTTAGAACATCTGCTTTCTAACCATATCAGCATGTAAAGTGGTGTGGCCTATGACCACTGCAGGAAAAAGACATATTTGCTTGTAGGTAATAACCAGAAGAGATGATTTGAAGTTTGTTTTTATGTTGTTTATTTTGATTTTTAGGGGGACAAAGAATTGTCAGTATTATCTAGTTCATGTTTTTGTTGCTTTTATTGCAGCAGTGGGTATCACTTTAAACAGAAAAGTACTCATAACAGTGTGCATGGATTTTAATTAGCATTCTTGTAATTGGACATCTTACTTTGTGTGTTGCAACAATGCTACTATTTTAGCTAAATGAGTAATGTTAACTTTTATCTCAGGTAGGGGCAGGAAATGGAGGAGAAACATATTCCATTAAAAAACTAATTCATATGTATTTGCTTCTTTAGAAGGAAGCAAAAAGAATACTTCACTATGCCACAAATGTACTAGTAGAATTACTTTTGTAAAGGTACTGTAACCTTCCCATAAAGCCTGATTTGATTTCTCAGGTATTTTAATCAGCTCTTATAATAATCTCCAAGGTTTACCTAGACCTAATTAAAGATATCTAAGTATTTCAGAAGTTGCCCCACATTCTTCCATAATGCTTACAAATCTTTTCACAACTGTCAGTGCAGCCAGTTCACAGGTAGGTAGAATTTTCTGCTGGACCTACACAGCTGAGGATTTATGAAAGTGACAATAAAGGAGACACTACTTTTCTCATCTTTCTCTATCATCTTATCTTCTACCAGTAATTGGCTGGAAATTTCTGAACTGATCACTCTAAATTATACTAGCCTTGCCTTAGATTAAAATTGGTGGGATGGACATTTGGTGAGATAACAAGTCTAGGTTTAGAGCTGTAATTTTTGGCTACTCTTAGGAGAATGTTAAGGCTTCTGCAACTCTTCATGGTTGTAAAATGCAAAATGACTTACCTGTTTAATTCCAGAAACTACAGTTTTATGAAGACAGGCACCAGCTTCCTGCCCCCAACTGGACAGAACTTGCAAACCTCATAAACAACTGCATGGATTATGAGCCAGATTTCAGGCCTTCTTTTAGAGCAATTATACGTGATTTGAACAGTTTGTTCACTCCAGGTGAGTTTGGATATAATAGGATCAAAAAGACTCCTGTTTCCTATTGGTTCACTTTCTTTTTTTGAAAAAGAATGTTTTTTGCAATACATCATTGTATTTGACTGCAAATTACTGCATAGAAATAAAGGTGGCTGTCAATATTCTATTGAGCTTGAAGTATGCCTAACAAAAGTCGAACAGGCCATGACAGTAATAAGGTTCTTCCTTTTCTTGTTCACTACTCTGTGCCTTCTATTCCCTTTCTTCTCTTCTTCCTTCTACCTCTCAGATTATGAGCTATTGACAGAAAGTGATATGTTGCCAAATATGAGAATTGGAGCACTTGGATTTTCTGGCGCTTTTGAAGATCGGGACCCAACACAATTTGAAGAAAGACATCTTAAGTTTTTACAGCAACTTGGCAAGGTAAGATGTTTCAAAATTCTGTAATAGTTTAGGAAATAACTATGGTTTTCAGTTAACCTTTGATGACCCCATTATTTGCAGTGAAATTTCTGTTTTAAAAGTTAATAATTTCAGTCGTATCTGAGCAACATGTGCAGTTCCTTCTAGCTCTTTTTTCACTTTCACAGTATTCTTAGAAGAAAATTAGCTAACCTCCGCAATGAATCCAGTCACACCAAAAGGCTAAGTACTTTCAAGTAATGCAGAGCTGCCTGACATAAATGATAGATGGATAGATAGATGGATACACACATCCGCTAGATATTCAGTTAACAACACTCTGGAGCATTCTTGTGCAGAACTAGTGGGATTAGTGGTTTTTTGCGTGGATATTCTGAGAAATCTGAATATACAGCCTCTAAATTCAAAAGGAAGATATATGTCTTCAAGATACATGTAGGCCTTGAACTTTTGGTCTTAGAAATCAGCATTTGGTTATTAGTTTTGCAAGTCATTGCAGCCTGGCTGTGTGAAAGCAGACCTAGACAGATGACCAAGTGCAGCTGGCAGTATTTTTCTAGAATGGTTCTTTGCTGTTTTATTTGGTTTTTACCAGTATTCTTTTGGCTTCAAGTACAAAAGCAGCCTGAAAATGAAGTAGCAGAAGCACTTCTGTTTGCAGATAGTTGTTCACTGTGATAGCATAGCGTGGGGAGAACAGCAGAGTGGTAGGTGATGGCTGCATAAAGGAAGACAAAAGACAATATAAATGAAGAAAGAGACAAAACCTGAACATTGAAACAAATTGGAGAGGAGCCAAAATGAAAAAGAGCAGAATTAAGAACCAAGACAAAGGCATTTATGCAAGTGCAGGAAAAGTATTAGTCCAGTGGAAGTGGAAATTTGCGAAAGGAGAGAAAATAGATGAACATCACCCTCTTTCCTTGTCCTCATTTCTTGTTCTGTTTGCTTCCTTTCATGGAATATATTTCTTTTCAACTGTTACCCTCAGTCCTGCACTTTTCCTCTCAGGGAAGTTTTGTGGCCTTTCACTTAAATAATTAATCACATAACCTTAATGCTTAGTACTGTGAGCACTGAACAAAGACTACACTCTACATGAACAAACATGTACTCTAGGAAACACAAAGAGCGAATGATGTTGACTTGTTTTTAATTCCCAAGTGTTTCCATTTGTGACCTAGGGAAATTTTGGCAGTGTTGAGATGTGCCGGTATGACCCGCTGCAGGATAATACTGGGGAGGTGGTTGCTGTGAAAAAGCTGCAACATAGCACAGAAGAGCATCTTCGGGATTTTGAAAGAGAAATTGAAATACTTAAATCACTGCAGCATGATAACATTGTTAAATACAAAGGAGTGTGCTACAGTGCAGGTATGTGCTATACTGAATACCCCTAAATATACATACTGAGAAGTTCAGAGAGGTAAGTGTTTATGACAGTCACTCATTTGTTATAAATTTGCCAGGACTGAGAGAGTACAAAACAAAGGAAGTTTTTTGAAAGATGATAACATTAGTAACAAGCTGATGTCACTTACCATTCTGAGTTTCATCTTGACAACACAGACATACAGACTTCTACTTTGCCTTAGCAATAGTAGCTGAAGTATTGATGAGATGATGTTGATTAGTGATATATTAATTTTCCAAGCATATCCACATTGTTGTTGAGTTTCAATAAGTGGCATTTTTTGAGGAAATGCAGTTAATTAGTATATGAAACATTGCATAGTGATGTATAGATCATAAATTATATTTTTGTATTAAGTCCATTTTATATTATGGCTACTGATAGAGGAATTAAAACGCTTCTGTTAAAAAACTCGTCTTTGGAGAATTACAGAAAAAATTACATTTTTACTTTTTGTTATTGCTCTAAAAGGACGGAGGAATCTAAGATTAATTATGGAATACTTACCATATGGAAGTTTACGAGATTATCTGCAGAAACACAAGGAGAGGCTGGACCACAAGAAGCTTTTGCTGTATGCATCTCAGATATGCAAGGTAGGACATTTCAAATTATATATATATTTCAATGAAGTTCTTTCTCCTTTTTCCATCCCATTTGTCTCAAACCAACAATAACTGGTTATTTTGGTGTATCTTCTATAATGTGGTTGGGCTGCTAGCACCACATAACCCTCAGAAAAAGTAGCAATGTAATCAAGACCTGAAAAAACTTCTGGGTATCTTAATACAGGACGCTGAGACTAGTCTATCTGCTGACTGAGGCAGAATATATTAACTTTTCTCCCTAAGGTGACCTGACATAAAGTATTGTAGGAGTTAATATACTCACTCAGGCAAAACATTCTATAATGGAATTTTCAGAAATTTGACATTCAGCTATAAAAACAGCATAACAACATGTGTATGTTTAAACAATTTACTTTAAACTGTAAGAGCAAAGATACATGACTTCCGTATGCAGAATTAGAGGCCTTATAAGTACCCAAACCTGTAATAAATTGTTTGGTACCAAACCTAATTCATAAAATCCTGAAAAGTGGTACAAACATCTGATCTTTCTTGTGATCTCATTTTCCTTATAAAGAGGGCTTTTACCTTCCCTATTTTTATTCTGTAATTATGTTTTAGATATTAGAAACTAGAGACACCTGAGATTTCATTGCATATTTAGAAATTTGAGAAAAGAAAAATAAATGGGAGTGAGACAAAAAATATAACCACATCCCCTCAAGGCATGTACCAGAAATATTTTTAAATTTCTTTTCTCAATACCTATATCAAAGACATGGAAGCAGTAGGTTACATAGGATCACATAATCACAGAATCAACTAGGCTGGAAAAGACATTTGAGATCATTGAGTCCAACCTATGAATGAACACAGCCATTCAGGCCATGGCACTGAGTGCCACATGCAGTTCTTTCCTTAAATACTTTCATGGACAGTAACTCCCTCACAGCCCATTCCATTTCCCAGTTATCCTCCTGAACAGCCCATTCCAATTCCCGATTATCCTTTCTGTAAACTATTTCTTCTTCATGTCCAACCAAAACCCCCCCTGCTACACTTATGTCCTCTGATCCTATTGCTGCTTGCCTGGGAAAAGAGCCTAACCCTCATCTGGCTACAGCCTCCTTTTAGGGAGCTGTAGAGAGGGATGAAGTCCCCACTGAGCCTCCTTTTGTTCAGGCTAAACAACCTCAGCTCCCTCAGCTGCTCCTCACAGAACTTGTGCTCCAGAACCTTCACTAGCTTCACTGCCCTTCTCTGGACATGCTCCAGCACCTCAGTGTCCTTCCTAAATTGAGGGGCCAGGAACTGGACAGGATTTGAGGTGCAGCCTCACCAGTGCTGAGTACAGGGGAAGAATCCCTGCCCTGCTCCTGCTGGCCACACCATTGCTGGCACAGGCCAGGATGCCATTGCCCTTCTTGGCCACCTGGGCACTGCTGGCTCATGCTCAGCTGCTGTCAGTCAGTATCCCCAGGTTCCTTTCTGCCTGACCACTGCCAGCCACTCTGTCCCCAGCCTGTGGCTCTGCCTGGAGTTGTTGTAGCCAAAGTGTAAGACCCAGAACTTGGTCTTGTTGAACCTCATACTGCTGGATTCAGCCCACTGATCCAGCCTGTCCAGGTCCTCCTGCAGAGCCCACTATACTCCAGCTGATCAACACTCCCACCCTACCTGGTGTGGTCCATGAATTTACTGAGGTTATATTTGATCCCCTCATCCAGATTATCAGTCAAGGCATTAAACAGGACTGGGCCCAACACAAATCCCTGGGGGACAGCACTGGTGACCAGCCACTCACTGGATATGGCACCATTCACCTCCACCCTCTGGGCCCGGCCACCCAGCCAGTTCTGAACCCAGCACAGAGTGCTCCTGTCCAAGCCGTGGGCTGCCAGCTCTTCCAGGAGTGTGCTGTGGGAGACAGTGTCAAAGGCCTTGCTGAAATCCAGGCAGACAACATCCACAGCCTTTCCTGCATCCACCAGGCAGGTCACCTGGTCATAGAAGGAGATCAGGTTGGCCAGGCAGGACCTGCCCCTCCTAAATCCATGCTGGCTGGGTCTGAGGCCTTGGCCATCCTGTAGGTGCCGTGTGATGGCACTCAAGATGATCTGTTCCATAACCTTGCCCAGCACTGAGCTGAGGCTGACTGCCCTGTAGTTTCCCAGATCCTTCTTCTGGCCCTTTTTGTTCCCCAGATCCTTCTTCTGGACCTTTTTTTGTGGATGAGTGTCACACTGGCCACCTTTCAGTCAGCTGGGATGTCCCCAGTGAGCCTGGACTGATGACAGATGATGGAGAGTGGCTTGGCGAGGTCTTCTGTCAACTTCCTCATCACACTATGATGGATGAGGGTGTTTTATTAGAGTATGTTGTCCACAAATATTCTTATGTCTGGTAATTGTGCCCTGCCACCTTAAGATCCTAAGACTTAGCTTCTGCTATATCTACAGAAAAGGTCTGACAATCAGGGGAGAATGTCTGCCAGAGCCAAGACCACCTCCTGACATTCAAACTTTCTCATGGTGAAAAGAGCTTGCTGGTTCCCTGCTTGAAATTGGTCTAACGTATTAGCTGCTGAACCTCTTGCATGTACAAGGAATGCTGCACCCTACACTAAGCACCCAACAGCTTATCTCACCTCTTCATGTGCTTCACTGAAGCACAGCAATGTGGGTAGTCTCCGGAGGAAGCTCATTCATGGGCAAGCAGTGCGGAATGTGGAAAAACAAAAAAAAATTAGCAAGTCTATGTGGCAAGTGTCTTTGGAGAGAGAAAGGATTGAACAGGTGACCACCCACTTCAGAGGGTTGAACAGCTCTCTGATCTGTGTCACAAGAAGTCATTCTCTGGTAACAGGCCTAAGAAATTATCTCTGGTAATAGGCCTAAGAAATTATCTCACACTTACTTCTGCAAAAAAATTACGTTGTTATGCTGGTAAGTCATTGTAAACAATCTTTGTTCAAGCAGAGACCTGGAAGAATCTTAAAACTCAGCACCACCCATGAGGGTGGTGACCAAATCTTTCATGGAAGGAAGACGCAACATGGATTTTTGAGCACGCAAAGGCTGCAGACAGTTAGCTGTTATATTCTGTCTCCATCTCAGCCTGCTGTGACCTCAAGGTGCTGGCCTTGTGCACTCTCATAAGAAGCTGCAAAGCATGTAGAAGTCCTCAGGCTTTCATTCAAAGCTTGATGAAATAACAGTGGCAACATGTCTCAGGACCCTGGTCTGAGGTGTCCATTGGGAGGACTGGAAGGTGGATTTTTACCCTTGAGGGCTGTGCAAATGTGGTAGAAATCTTTGGGAAAGGAACTGTATTCAGAAACTACAAAGAAAAAGGACCTTAGTGTGTGTGTACATACACATACATGAAAGAACTTTGAAAATATTACAGGTCTTCAGGATGGTGAGAAATTGAAATAGCAGATGAGATTATTCCTTCCTAAGTACCAAGCATCAGCCAAGAGAAAGGGAGATAAAATATGCATCCTGCAGATACTAGAGCAGGAAAACATCCAGCTTTGATAATTACATGGGGACAATGTATGAAAATGTAGGAAATCTGTATAGAATAGAGCTTGCTCTTAAAGAAACGTTTTCACTTCTAAGAAAAGTGAAATCTAAGAGTTACAGTGTATGTGCCTTGCTTTGGAGTGTTTTTGCTGTACAATCTGCAAAGTAGAGGTTATATCAATTGCTTTAAGATTTCTCTAATATGTGGCATTCTGTTTCTCCAAAACAACATAATTAGTGAGTACCTGATATTGTGAAAATGGAATCTGAATGCTTTTTCTTTGTTTAGCTGATCGTGTTACGCTTTTCAGCTGGTTTTGCTTTTCTTGCAATGTTTGCTCTTTCAGCGTCTCACATCTCATCTTTCTGCTGTGCATTTCTGCCAGTCTGTAATCTTGGGGGGTTTTCAGTTTTCATCAAAAACCTTTCAACCTCTGCCTTGCTGTTTTCCTCTGAAGTGTATGAGAGAAATGAAGGCACACACATTTACCTGAGGGTTAAGATGAATGTGTTTGGTTGTTTATTGTGTTTTGGTTCCTTGCTACTATACTGGGAAAGGGTTTTCCTTCTCTTAATGTTTGAAGTGTTTCAGGTGTCCTTGCTGGTGAACCAGTTTTAAAGACAGAAACATTTTAAATCACATTTAATTGTTGTTAGACTAGAGCCACAGGATTGTGATATCAACTTAGAATTTGCATGATTTCAGTTAAAGATCTGTCTTATGTGTTTTCCAGGCTCACAGAAAAGTTACTGTCATCAAACTTCAGGGCTGTTTTCAGAATAGTACATTGTAGTAAGAAAAAGCTGTAGCATTTTCATAGGCTAGTTGTACCAGTAAGATAGAGCCCTCACTTCGAATTAAGGTTTGGTATTTATGTCAGTGAACAAGCTGGCAATGAGGAATAGGGCATTTTTGAACAGTTTTGGAACGAGCTGTGAGAGAACAGCAATGCCACCCAATGGTACGGGGAGGTACTAGAATCTGAGAGAAAGATAGTACTTTGTAGCCAAACTCTGAGGTTTCTGACATTAAGAAAAAAAATATAAGAGAAGGAAATAAGCCTTTTGGCATGACTAGTAATAACATTGCTTTTCAGAACTGTTGAGATCACCAATGCTATTTGTGTAATTTAACTTTTCCACTGTGTTGAAAGGGTGATATGCTTTCTTACAAAACTATGAAACTGACAACTTGCTTGGTGATAACTTTCATGTATGAGTTGGGTATCTCTTGACATTGTGCAGCATCACTTTCAGTCCTCCATTTATTGCTGTCTTAGCAAGACCTTCTTGTTTTAGTAATGCCACTACACACGCTGGCTTTTTCCAGATTTCACTGTTAGTGAAGGTAACTAAGTGCATTGGTAAGAAGGGATCATCAGCAGCAAAAGACAACATGCCTTCAGACCAATGCTTTGTTACAGCAATCTCTGGGAATGTAACAATAAGCAGAACTGTACTGGTGAATAATTGTCCATACGAAAGAGATACAAAGCACACTGTTGGGAATACAGTGAAAAATAGTCAAATTCAAGGAATCATAATACAAAATTTCATGGAACCATTCAGGAAAGCAGATGCAGAAAATGAAGAAAAAAGCTAAATGAAATGGGTATGTTGGACAATCTTCTCATGTGCTTTGGATTGTGTAGCTTAGCCCAAATTTTTTCCTTCTACATATCACCAGCCAACTGCATTTGGGCACAGAAAGGAGCAGTAGCATTTATCCAGCTACATAATCAAAAAAATACTTGGCTCTGACAGGTGATTAGTCTGTCTCCCTCCTGTTAAATGGAATTCACTGAGCTTGGACTCAGAAGACAAACCTGGTTTTGGTTTTAACTTTGAGGTTAATTTATCCCCTTAGGGAAAGTGCAGCTATGTAGTGGTAAAAATAACTCTTTTCATGTTCTGTTTGTAACCTCTACACCTAGGGCATGGAGTATCTAGGAACAAAAAGATATGTTCACCGAGATTTAGCAACAAGAAATATCTTGGTGGAGAATGAGAACAGAGTTAAAATTGGAGATTTTGGATTGACAAAAGTTTTGCCACAAGACAAAGAATACTACAAAGTGAAAGAACCTGGTGAAAGTCCTATATTTTGGTAAGTCTTCTTTTGGTATTTGAAATCATGGCATGTTTTCAGTTTTTACCCTTCAGCCAATTCATTTTGCATGTTGTGGAATTCCTACTTGCAAGCTCCGCATCAGTTTTCCAGCATTGTGAAAGTCACTTGCATGATATTTCACTTCACAGAGTGGCATCTAGAACTTTTCAACATATTTTTTAAAAACCCAGGAAAACACACAAAATAAAAATAAAAAAAAATACATATTTAAAGGAAATAGCATCCAACAGAAAACATATTCAGATATAAAGGAAGTCTAAAATGGCCCATTTCCTTGGATTCTTTCAAGCTTTTAGGTATTCTAGTTCCTTAGAAACTGGCCATTCATGTCTTCCAGCTGAGATCAGTTGGATACACCCCAAGAGAAAATGCCATTCCATACATGCAATTTTAGTCTGTATTTTAATTCTGACTCAGGCACTGTTTACCTAAAGAATAAATTATACAAAATGGCATCTTAGTAGGTGTTATTGGAGAAGTACAGTTTAGTTCCAAAAGTATCTGCAACACAGTTCACTGAAAGTGATGGAAGGCTGTAATACTCTTTCTTTGCAGGTCTAATCACATCAAATTCCTATCTACTTGCAAATAAGAAATACAAATAAGAAATATATCTACAACCTTGTTGGAAAAAAAATCAAACTTGGTTATAGTTATCACCAACTGTGTTTGTTTAAGGTGGATTTGGTTTTCAAAACCAATTAACTATTATTAAAGGAGTAGTTAGTAATTGAAGGTACAAAAAGGAAATGAGAACATGCTAATATCAATGAATAAAGAACACTTACTCATGAAAAAGAAATCTGTCTTACTAAAACAAATGTTTTCAAAATCAAAATGGCACATATTACAGAGAGCAATTTTCCTTGTACTGTGTGTTGCAGGTACGCTCCAGAATCTCTGACAGAAAGCAAATTTTCTGTGGCCTCAGATGTGTGGAGCTTTGGTGTGGTCTTGTATGAACTCTTCACCTATATTGACAAAAGCAAAAGCCCACCAGCTGTAAGTATATAGTTAATAAATCTCAGAGAATTTGTTTATTTAAATTTCCTAGACTGTCATGTACCTCAATAGGTTAATGTTTACTGATCCTTTTCTGGAGATACCTTAGTGTTTGAGACAGCATCCAGTCTGAAGCAGTAACTAAAAGGTAACTGGTATCAAGCCATAAGAAAGAAAGAAGATCTGAAAATTACTTCATAGTCTGTGCATACCTTATTCATTCTGTAACTTCTGTTTGAAAAATATTTTAAAATCTCTTGTTATAGGTTGTTCTTTCTGATCCTTTGGGGAGAGTTATCCCAGCTGCAACCAGTCCATGGCATGACCTTTATTTTTAACGTTGTTCCAAATTTAAGGCTGAGCCAAACCATACATAGAAATTAAGTTAACTTACATAAGGAACTTAAGGTATTTTATGTTAGCAGAACCCAAGTTAGTAAGTTAGCAAAGTTCAAGGAAAAAAAGGAGTGGCCTCTTGCAGACTGCTGACAGGTGTCTGAAGACAAATTTACAGTGGGTGAAGAAAGATACTATTATCCTCCAATTGAAAATAAGATACATGATCTTATTTTCACCTAGCAGTAACCATGGACATAACAGAGGAGAGTTCAGGCTTCTGTATTTACTGTAGCTGGCCTCACCCTTGGCCAGAACTGTCAGTCCTGGCAAATCTGGTTTTGAGAACCGAATAGTGATGGTAGGCAGAAATGTGTTTGGAGGATACCTCAGCACTGGCCTCAGTAGACCTCTCAGTAATTCCATACAATGAGCTATCAGAGGTTTCAAGGAAGAACTCAGGACAGCTCTTTCAGCATAAGAACATAAATAAAGACCCCTAGAGTTCTTCAGAAGGATTGTGAAATGAAAAGTGATAGAGTAAGTTAGGAGCACAACTGGACTATTCTTTCAATGAATCAATTCTACATGTGCATTCACCACTTCATCAGGTTGGTTATCCTATTGGTATGCATCAAGAAAAGGTAATTTGGTAAATTTAACCAAAGTGGCCTGTTCAACTCTTGTAGTCTTTATACTTTTATATTGTTTTCAAAACCTGGCCATTTACACATTCAGCCAATGGGTGTTTCACACTTTCATGTCAAGGATCATTAAAGAAATTTCAAAGCATTGGAGGAAAAATAAAAAGTCCTTTATGTTGTGCTTAGAAATTTATTTCAGTTAATACTACATCCTCATTTACTTTGGATGTCTGGCAGTCTGAGTGAAGTTTTCATCTGCTTTTTGGGTTATTTTGGTTTTTTGGAGAGCAAGGTTTATCTAAGCCATTTTTCCTGGCTTTAATTATACTAATTTTTCTGCTGTGTTGTTACTGATTAGTCCTGCTAACCATTTTTTGTACATCAGCATGACAATATCTGTTTTCTATTTAGCATTTTTCAAAGCATTAGTTCTTTTAGTGTTCCACAGAGCTCTTTAGAATCAGATGTGAGTTTAATCCTTTTAAAACTAATTAATCACAGAAGCACAGAATGTTATGTGTTGGAAGGGACATTAAAGATCATCTCGCCCCAATCCTCCCTGCCATGGGCAGAGACACCTCCCACTAGATGAAGTTACTCAGAGCCCTCAGCCCAGCTTTGAACCCCCCAGGGATAGGGCAGCCACAGCTTCTCTGGGCAACCTCTTCCAGTGTCTCACCATCCTTACAGTAAAAGAATTTCTTCCTAATTACCTTTGTTTCTCTCCTTTCAGTTTGTACCCATTACTCCTTGTCCTATCACTGCAGTTCCTGATTAAGAGTCCCTCTCTCCCTCTCCACCTTCCCTGCAGGCCCCCTTCAGATCCTGGAAGTTACTGTGAGGTCTCCACACAACTTTCTCTTCTCCAGGCAGAACAGACACGACTTCCTCAGTCTGTCCTCATGAGGAAATGCTCCAGTTCTCTTATCAACCTCATGCCCTTCTCTGTACTCACTCCAACAGGTCCATGTTCCTCCTGTGCTGGGAGCCCAGAGCTGATGCAGCCCTGCAGGTGGGGTCTGAGCAGGGCAGAGGGGCAGAATCCCCTCCCTGGCCTTGCTGCCCACCCTGCTCTGGATGCAGCCCAGGACACGTGTGGCTTTTCTGGGCTGCCAGTGCCCATGGCTGGGTCACGTGGAGTTTTTCATCAACCATCACCCCCAAGTCCTTCTCCACAGGGCTGCTTTCAATCACATCCCCTCCCAGCCTGCAGGTCTGTCCAGGATTGCCGTGGCCCATGTGCAGAACCTTTTGCTTCTCCTTGCTGAACATCATGAGGTTTGCATGGGCCCAGCTCTCCAGCCTGCCCAGGTCCCTCAGGATGAGGCCCCTCCCTGCAGGACGTGGCTGCCCGCGCAGGCCGCGGCCAGGGAACGTCTGAGGGTGCCCTTGGTCCCACTGTCCACGTCCCCTGCAGAGATGTTGAGCAGTTTGGGCCCTGGTGCTGACCCTCAGGGACACCACCCATCTCTGCTCTCCCCGTGAATGGACAGTGAGCCATTGACCACAGCTCTGGGTGCAGCCTTCCAGCCAGGTCTTTATTCACGGAGGCACCCATCCCTCAAACCCATGTCTCTCCCGTTTAGAGACAAGGATGTCACGTGGGACAGTGCCAAACTTTGTATAAGTCTAGTTAGCTCCATCTTAGAAGGTTACTAGATTTCTCAGGAAAAAAATTTGTGCCCTTAGTAAAGCCATGTTGTTTGTTTCCAGTCACTTCTTTGTTTTCCATATGCATGATGTGCAGGAGAATTGGCTCCATGATCTTGCCTGGCAGAGGTGAGACTGACTAGTTTGTTGTTCATTGTGTCTTTCACTTTCCCCTTTTCAAAAATTAGGGTTATCTCTCCCTCTTTCCAGTCATCACAAACTTCACCTTAACACCTTCATCTGCCAACTCCCTCAGTACCCCTGAATAAATTTCATCAGGTCCCACAGACTTCTGCACATTCAGTTTCCTTAGATGGTCATGAGCATGACCCTCTCCTACAGTGGTCTTAGGGTCTTCATTCTTTCAGTCCCTCCATCTGCCTTTCTCTACTTGGGCAGTGTGCCTGGAACACTTGCCTTTGAGGACTCAAGCATAGAAGTAATTTAAAACCTCAGTGTTCTCTTTATCCAGGGTAGTCAAATCATCAGATGATGATCAACATTTTTAAAGATTTTTCACCTAGTGCTTTAAATTGTGTATGTATCATTCCATTTTATTCTATTCCATATCATTATTTAATTTTACACACACAAAAGATCTGTAATTATTGATATATTCTCTAGACATGTAATTTATAATTTGATCATTGTTATGTGCTATTCAATTCATTCTTATTTATATATTATATATATATAAATTATTCTTATTAAATAATTTTGCTTGGTAAGAATATTGCATCATCTTTTTTTCCTCTAAAGATTATATATTACAATTGGCCTTTTGTTTCAGGAATTCATGCGCATGATTGGCAATGATAAACAAGGGCAGATGATTGTATTTCATTTGATAGAGCTTTTGAAGAATAATGGACGACTGCCGAGACCAGATGGATGCCCTGATGAGGTGATGTACTGTGTTAAAATGTTACTGTAGTGTGAAGGGTGCTCAGTTAGCATGAGTACCTGCAAGTGCAAAACTTACATTTTGTTCTGCTTGGACCACTAAAGTACTTATTCAAGTGGAATGGCTGTGCTGTAATTTTATCAGTTTCATGATGAGTATAATATTTTTTTTTTTTTTGATTCTTTAGCTTGTACTCCCTCAGGAGCAAGACTGTAGTCTTGCTGAATATATGAAGTGGGACTGCTGTAACTTACTGCTGTACTTGGGCACTCACACTTCTATTTCAAAAAGATACACGTATGAAGGCAACAAGATTAGTGTATATATAACTTGTTCTGTGTAAGTTCCCGTGTAGAGATTCTCATTCAAAGCTGTGAACTTTGGATTTTTTTTTTAATATGTAATATTCAGAAAAAAAATCTTAATATCCACCTAAAGTTTTTCACATTTAATTCCAGGATGTAAAGAGCTTCTTATCTTGATTACTGCCTTTCTGTTACTGTTCCCTTCTCAAGTGTGGAAGGCTCATGTTTATAATGTATATTATTCACCATCAAGCATTTTCAACTTGCAGACAGTAGGCACAGTTAAGTATATGAATCAGATTTTCTGTGTTCAGAGTCTTCAGGTTTGTATTCATGTTCTTTGTAGATACTAAAGTACAGCTGTAGAGCTGTCTTCAGAGCACATAAATTAATTCAGTGTTCTTCTGGTTTTATTTATACACCAGATGCTTTTAAAAATACTTTCATACCACTCCTTAGTCTTCTAGTATTCTATTCTTCAGAGCAGGGTGCACAAAGCCTGGTTCGGTCAAACTAACCTGGCTGGGCTGTGTAGGTGAGTCAGTAATGAAAAAATGGAAAGAAAATAGTTATGGGTTGTTGTTTTTTACATATGTAATTGCCAGCTCAGATTAATTGCTGCATCCCTTTAAAGTCAAGCACACTTGGCAATAAGTCAAGAAATAGTACAGTTAAAACTGGTGAAAGAGAAAACATCAGGGTCAAGTGATCTAATAGAGGAGAAAAAGAATGGTACAAGTGAGGCAGGAAGCCATTTGGGAGGAAAAAAATCTATAGAGAATAGAAAGAGAAGTCTTTGAAGAACCTTTCTTGCATTTTATGTACTAGTACAGCAACTGTTGGATTGGAAAGGTTTGGCTTTTTGTAGATAATGTGAATGTCATATGTATAAGATAATAAATCTGTTTTACTGAAACTGTATCTTAACTAACGCAAAGGTTTCAGTGTCTGACATTTCTCCAGCTATCAAAGCAAGATGGAAATGTCTCTGTCAGAAACCGTATTCATCCCCTTTTGATCCTGGAAGGCCAGTCATCACAGATAATAAATCTTCCAGATACCTGTAGCTTACAGCAGCTTATCTTGCAGCTTACAAGCTGCTTGAGACTTGGTTCTAAAGCAGCTTGGTCAATGCAGGTCTTTCAAATCTGCTGAAAGATAAGGAACAGTTTCTAATTTTTTTCCTGGTAGCTGTACAGACTGTTCTTAAGCAATATGTGAAAAACTGTTGAAAGTATGAGAAATTAGTAATGACAATCTGGACTGAATGAATGAGAAGAGTACAGGTGAAGAGCTTGGCAAGTTGTATGAGACCAGGTATCTGGTACATCTTTGGGCAAAAAGAAAACTGTTGCCATGTAACTACTGTAGCAGAAATATCTTTCAATATTGATTCAGTTTGCACAGTAACTTTTTTTTTTTTTGCTTATTTCTGATTATATATGAAGAATAATTAAGAATTTAGTATACAAATTCTGGAGAAATATATGGTAACTTCTCAGGGGAAGTCTTATTTAGAATTACTGGTTTTGTAAATCTGATTTCTGGTCATACTGGTGCTTGTTATGTTAAAGCATTTTTGAGCTTCTCAAAAAAAAGAGCAAGAAAAAATATAAAAACTTATCAAAGTAACATAAGTCTTGTAAAAGTTTCAAAAAGCAACTGAATGAATTTTCATGCTTACTTTTAAAAAATTGTCTTTTATTATAAGTGTTTTTGCAGAACCATCTATCCTAGGTTCTTGCTGTCACTGGGCAAGAGTTCAGGTACACTCTTCTGCAGCTGTTGTTTGGAAGCATAAAGTTAAGCTGGATATTCTTTAGTCCAGTTTCAAGTAAATATGTATGGTATCCATTTACCTACTACCTTTTTTTTTTCTTCTCCAGATTTACGCTATCATGAAAGAATGCTGGAACAATAATGTTGCCCAGCGCCCCACCTTTCGGGATCTTGCTCAGCGAGTGGATCATATAAGGGAAAACATGGGTGGATGAAAAAACTCCTTCAAAGGATGAGTTGGAATGCAGAACAAAATGTACTTGGTCAGCTGTGTATATTTGACATATGTACATGTGCACACATCTTATCCTTGCTGGAAGTAAAATCTGTGTGGCAAATACCCTATTTCAATCTGCATACTGAGAATCCTGCTAGGCCTTTTTTATCAGGATATATTTGTTACTATGAGAACATGTTGAAATTCTCAATAGGGAAAGAAATTATTTTTCTAAATTTAAAAGTGGATGGTCATTCAGCAACACCATTATTTGCCTTACTTGGCAGTACAAAAAAGAGGTGACTTAAAATGTGATGAAACTAACAGATAAAAAACCAATGTATCTCTTTGTTGAAGTAGAGATGCCCAGAAAAGACTTCTAGAAATACTTCTACACCGAGAAATAGTGACTAGGCACCCTGTTTTGTGTGTTGCACAAAGACTTTTGTCTGTTAATACAGTTTCGTGATTTTTTTCATTGTTGATGCAGAACTGGTTTCTCTGTGTAACAAAACAGTAGTGGTTTGCTGTGCCTGTCTGAATCAGTTATCAGCCAGCAGTATATCCAAAGAGATGTAGCTGTGTGATATGCTCTAAGTATTTTGAGGGACAGGGAGAAAATTGCGCTTTACTGGGAGAGACAGACAACTTACTAATCCATGCAAAAATTTTAATTTAAAAATGAAAAAGCAAAGATGTTATCCTTTTATTCTTACTCCTCCCTTGATGAATATTAGATTGCCTTTATAGTACTGAAGATACAGTGATAACACATAGAAGGGAATTCATTTTACATCAGACAGTGTCTTCAATGTAAATAAGGAAAAGCTAAGTATACTGCTTTTAAATGCTGCTCTTTTTTTCTTTCCATCCTTGTAATTTTCATGGAGTCATAAGTAAATGAATTGAAACTTTCAAAGCAGGATTAAAAATCTAAAAAATTCCCTCACTTCCTCAATTCCTCACTTTGCTGTTAAGATGATCATCTAAATATCTTTCTTCCAGCACAGAAAAAGAATACTTACAACTCAGTATCTGATATGGCCAGTCACAACCACATCAAGCCTGTTCTATATTGAAGTGGCCCAAGCGTATTTATTTCTGTGGAAATACCCAACATGAGACTGTTTGGAAGGAGTTACAAGTGCAATTGCTCACACTCACTATAGGGCAAGGACAGGATTCCAGTTACTGAGAACTGGAAGGAGATCAGAGCTACCTGAATGCTGTATAATTCAGCTTTTGAAATAAGCAACAAAAAATTTTGGAGAAGAGAATGCTTCTTTTGCCTTGAGGCAAAAAACTTGGGGATAATCTCATATGTCAAAGCAGTATAATTGCAGGGTTTGTTTATTTTTAGTTCAAATAATCTTGTTTGTTTGTTTGTTTTTACTTAAGCATTATTGTTCGCAAAGTATAATGCTGGTTCTTTTTGGACTTCTGCTGAGAGAAGTTCAGTTAAGGGGATATACAGCTTGGCAAACTGACCTGACATCCAGATTTATATTTAAAATGAAGTGTTAGTTTTTAAAATTTGTGGCAGTGAGTTAGTGAAACAGAGGTCACTTTCACTGTGGAGCCTCCTTAATATTTGTGGTGAACTACATCCACCTTATCAGAAATTGAAGAACCTCAGCTTTTAAAAAAACTAAAAAAACAAAACAAAACAAAAACATCCTTACTTGGTGTAATAAAGTGCCAGTATAGCAGTATTTTGTACAACTGTGATGTTTCTCTCCCACAGTCACTCCTTCAAAATTACTATTTTATAGTATAAGAGAGTGCTAAATATGGAGAGCAGCATCAACTTTCTCTCTGCCCATTGCATTTAAAACTATTTCTGTTAGTGTTCTTGCCACCAAGCATTTGCATAGATGATTTTTCAAAACAATTTCACAGTCAGTTTTTAAGCTGCAAAGAACTTTGAAGTGCTATGTTCAACTTAACATGTTTTCTCAATTTCTATACATTGCTTTGAGGATTTGAAATTTTGTGCAAAAGATGTCTTTGCATTTGTAGTCTCAGTTCTGTGTATGTGTATTTTTGTAACAAAGGAGATAAAGCTTTAAAGTATCAAGACAGCATTTTAGCTGAATAACATATGCAGGAATTATGTAACATTTGCAGTGTATGACACTCAGTAGCTCACTGGTTTCAAATACATGGTAGACTAAACATAATTTATGTAAAAATCTCAGGGAAGTTTGTGTAATGCAATGAAGAAATCTTCCAGTCTGCTAATTTTTCAAGTGAATTAAAGGTCTTTTTCTTGTTCTACTACAGTTTGACTATTTACATAGTCTATTTGATTGCATAAATGTAGTGGTGAATTCAAGGATTATTTTTAAGTTTCTTGTGGAGTGTTTTTGTTTTGATCTGGGTTTTGTTCTGGTTTTTTTTTTTTTTTACTTCAGTACTATATCGTTTTGAGAGAAAGCCGTATCTTTACACTGCAGTGTAACTGTGTGCTGTTGGCCAGAGACAGTCTTTTTTAACAACCAGAGGCCTGTGCCAAGGGCTTGAGCATTTAGGATTAATGTTCTTAGCTGGGAGAATAGGACCAAGTAGTGCTTAGGACTTGGGAGATGTATAGTCTATAGAGATGTATGTGCAGTGTCAATATTTAGGTCCCAGAGCAGACCTGGTGGCTTTCTCAAAAAGCTGTTGAGGATGTAAATGTAGTGATTTTGCTGAATTTGCTACTGCCAATTGTGTAACCTTTAAAAAAACCCAACAAAACAACCCCACCACCAAAAAACACTGTATTTTTTATTTTGAAAGCTCTCAGATCTACAGTAGCATTGATAATGTCATATTTTTACATGGCATTTGTATTAATAGACTAAGTACTTTGTTTTAGAAAATGTCCTCAGTTGGCATTGCATTTGTAATACATTAGTGTAATCATTATGCTATCCAACATGCTGTTTGATTTTGTTGATAGAAAAAGTGCTGGTTTATGTATACATGACTGCTACTACAGTGTAGAATTAAAATATTAACTACTGCTTTGCACTTACATTGGAAGTGAAAGAATTTTTTAATAAGTGCGCAATGTATCTTATAGAATCTCTGCAATCAAGTATTGTGTTGTGTAGTATTGATTTGTTGTCTATCAGTATAAACATGTTAAGCTTCAAAGTTAGTTTTTAAATATATTCCGCACAGTATTCCACAAACTTGCAACAGTCATATAGTAAGCCAGAGGAGAAATGAATTTTCAGGAAAAGAAACACATGTTCTTGTCAAGTCCTAGTACTGGTTAAAAGCTTCCATAGCTGAGATAATTGTTGTGAAATGTGCTGATGAATACAACTGTGAAAGTATATGTAAGAATTATATTTTTTCCCCAAAATTAAATTTTTAATTGTTGCATTTAGTTAAGATGTTGACCAGCTGCCCTGAAATGTATGGGAAAAGATGTTACTGTATTAAGTGTGAAGAAATGTAATTCTTGTGTAAAGAAAGCAAGCTTTTCAGGAATGTAGGATCACAAACACCTCTAGGTATTTGAGAGTTCTGAGAGCACAAGCAGAGGTATAGAAGAACAAGACTAAAGGAAGAAGCATGATGTTCAGCATGGGAGAAGCTTTCTGAAATGTGAAATGCACAATGAATTATGAAAAACTGATAGATTTTTCTACTGAAAATGCCATATCGTGACAAATATGTGCTAATATATTTGCACATATTTGTCACGATAACTGTGACAAATATGTGCAAATATATTAGCACATATTTGTATTGCCTGCCTTAAGTCTGAAATATTCACAGACACCTAACCTGGCTGAAAAAATTTCAATCATTACTATACCAAAATAAACGAATAATGTTGTGCCATGCCAGACAACAAATCTGAACAGATGTTTGACTAAGAAGTTTTGTTCTGAATTTTTCTTTTTGAATAAGAGGTTTACAGTACTTTATATTAAAGTAGAAAAAGTCCCTTGGTGGTAGGGAGCAGGGAGGAAAAGATACCTGCCACTTATGATTGAAATGTAAACATTTGAACACATGGTTTAGTCAAGAGAACATGAAAGGGATATTTTTAGAAAACTGTGTATCCATACCTGAAACTTAACTGTGTGTTTCTTTTTGCATTTGGATAGTGAAAATAAAAAAAAAATGAATACAATGGATGACACATGCCTGCTAACATTTTCTTTTGCACACTAAAATTTGTTACTGGTATTTAAATCACTGCTGAAGGCAGCCGTTCCATTTGATGAGGTAGAATACTGCACATACAACTTTCCAATCTTCCTAGAATAGACATATTAAGCATTTATCTACTGGAAGATGTACCAAAGTAAAGGTGTTACCTACTGAGGGCTTTTAATCTCTTTTTTTAATTAAGATTTTCACTGAGAAAATTAATTTGGGATGAAGAAACACTTCCTTTTGTTCTCAGTATTTAAAGAGATGCAAGTCTCTAAGACAGAAGTGCCTTACACCACCTTACATTTCTTTGTTAGAAATTCTGATGTCTTGATTTTCATTACTTTATAATCTTTCCATTTGACTTCGCTTAACTTATGGGAAAATTACCACCACTTTTAATGAAAATTACCATCATTTACCTTGAACCGAGTTGAATGCTTTTATCAAATACACAACTGGTCCCTTGGTGTTACCAACCATTATACCTGTGTCCTTGAGCAAAACCAGTCTCACAGATGAGTTGCCTTTGCTTGAGGCAGGACTAGTCCAGTTTTCCCTAACACGTTCCCCGTATGGCGCACAGGGACTTTACTCCTTTCCATAGTATATGGAGGTTTTGTTTGGGCAGGGTATCCAGTCAATACTGTGCTCTCTGGTCCAGGTGTCTATGAGGTTGTTTTTGAAATGAGTCCCACCGTCCAGCTGACTTCTCTCAGGGGTGCCATGTCCCAACAGGACATGTTTCTCAAGGGCCAAGGTGGAGTTCCAGGTGGTGGCAGGAGGCACAGGGCACCTCTCCAGCCATCCGGTGGTTGTGCCACTATTTGTAACCACATAGTGCTTGCCTTGGCAGGTTTGGGTGATCTGCAGACTGCCTCCCCCCGTATTTTCCTTTTGACCATCATCCACCATACCACAGGGGTTTACCTGCTCGATCTGCTGGGCTGCAGCACACATTCACAGCGCCCTGGTTACAGGGAGTGGGGATGGAGTTCTCAGTGCTGTGTGGGTGTGACAACACAGTTTACTGCAAACCACACACATATCAATGGGGATATGGTATCAGCAGGAGAAGCCAAGCATCATCAAGAAGACGAAGTGTGCCATCTTGGCTCTCCCTAGCCAAGAAGGTGTCAGGATCAGCCTGGTGCACTCAGCCCTGCTCTGTCACCCTGGTCCTTTCTCTGTTCTTTTGGGCCCAGTGGACTGAATACCCTGGCTCTGGCAGAGCAGAAGCAGCCATGCAGAGCTCAAAGCTCCAGCTGAGCCAAACCAAGCCCCACTGGTGCTGCCCTTAGCCACATGGGACCAAGCTAAGCCTGGGGAACAGTGCCAAACACAGCT